CAAAAAAGTCTCTCCAACGGTCCTTCTTCGGACTTTTCATCTCGGTATGGGCACTAATCTATGGTTCCTATTCACTGATTTCTTCGATTTTGTCTATGCGGTCTACACTCGATAAAGACGGCCAACAGTTTTCATCCTATTAGAAGATATCGGTGCCTTTTTTCGTCATCTCGCTGTCCATCTTGTTCTTTATTTTCAAGTTTGTCAGCGCAGGAGAGGCTGCAAAGCGACGGAAAAGCCCCAATTATGAATGAGCTCGTGATAAATCTCTCCCATTGGGGTTGTGCTACAGTATCAGCGGTGATGCAAGGGAGGATGCTCAATGTTTCTTGTAATAATATTTCTTGAAAATTACGCTACCATTCATCATGTGACCTCTCATTACAAAAGGTCTCAGTCCACGAAAGGAAACTAATCCACATGAGAGCTTAGCTGTTTCAGGTTAGGGTTTAGGACAAGATTTGTGCTAGTAGACTACAGTGGCGCCGCAAAAGTCTCCGACCACCCTGGCTGACCGCCCATTTTCTGCCATTAATTCTGCCGTGCTAAAACCTCCAAAAAATCATAATCAAATTAATCTAGTATCTAATATTTAGTGTACCAGCCATTTGATGCAATTATAGCCTGCACCCTCCGCGTGTCACGGCGCAAGTCGTACGTGGTGACTCCAGCGATTCACAGTTGAATCGACCCCGCATCGGCTTAGGGTAACAACCCCAAGGCCGTATGTGGGGCTATGGGGGCTCGGTACGCGGACCCTCCATGTATTTATTGTGGAATCTAGTGGAGACTACCAGACTCCAAGATTCAGTCTTTGGAATTCAGACCCTATAGACTTGGACCCTCTGCCTAGCCAACAGGTTCTCTGACCTGCAATCCAGATACCCATAACACCTAATCTCATAAATCTTTTGCTTAAGTAAGGTCCATAGATTTTCAATTGGATTGAGATCTGGTGAGCAAGGCGGCCAAATCATAATCTCACGCCCTAGTTCTGCTACAAATTCGCGTACGATCTGTGCAGTATGCGTTAGAGCATTATCTTGTTGAAAGATTGATTCAGGATCGATAAGCAAAGTCGGTAGAATTCGTTTATATAAATCGAGAATAACGAAGCGATTAACACCTTAACGAGGCGATTCTGGATCTCTATAAAGGGCTATTAAGCCACTTCGGCGAAGCGATCCTGAGAATGCAGCCCAAAACATCTGTTTAACTTGAAATCCACGATATAGTACTAGTTGAACTTCGCCTTGGACTGCTTAGTCGGATAGGCGAATAAAGCTATATACTAGACGTAGTCCAATTTCTCGCTCAACTATACACTCGTCAGACCAGAAGACTCGGCCAAAATCATCTTTAGTGTAGTGTTAATACCATAAAGCCCAAGATAGTCGTGCAGCCGTATACTTAGGCTTAAGAGATAGGCGTTTCATAACTCGCCATTTTCGGAGACCCTCGACAGAGAGTAATCGCGCGATAGAATCCTTCTTGCATTTATAATCTACTTCAGAGAGTAGGTTATCATACGAGACCCGAGGATCTTCGTGAATCTTTTCGAGGATCTTTTAACGGTTATCATTAGTTAAGATCTTCGGGCGCCCAGATCGCTTTAGTGACTGTTCTTTATCGCGAATACGCGATTGAAGGCAAGTGTATTTGATAGTCGAGAGCGGTATAGAAGGGTATTTCTTATGAATCTGCCCATAAGACCACTTTGCCACATCTTTTAATGTAACGATTTAAGTACGAAGATTCGCGTCTAATTCGCAATTTCTGCGTCTTGGCTGCGCGATATCAGGAGACGTAGGTTACCTAGGGATAGAAGGAATAGGCCCTCTAGGTCTTAGAGGACTAGGTGCTAGTAAACCAGCCCTTGTGCGAGGCATATTAGTATAGTAAGTAGAAGAGTATTATAAACAACGCGATGCGCGTACACGATATTCGCGTTTATAGGGTTTCCGTAGGCTATATTAGGTAGGCGGTATTAAATAGCGGTCAGGGGGTGGTCGGAGACTTTTGCGGCGCCACTGTAGAATGGACAACCTATACAAGACAATACAAAGGTTATTTTTATATAGTATTCTACAACGGTATCAGAATACCGGCAAGCACTGCTCTAGGCAGAGCCTAACTAAAATGGGTATAGTCGATGCAAGATAAAGTTCCCAAACCAATTAAAATAAAAACAACAGGTGAAACTGATTTCGAGCGGTCCTGTACAGTGTTTGAACAAGAGAGCTTGACAAGTCTGCCAGTGGTCAATCAGCTTGTTCAAAACGTGAATTTGGAGGATTCTCACAAGGTGCATTGACAAGTGGTAAATGTGAGGGAAGCGTACTCAGTGTAGTGCCTTTACGTTGGAATACTGGCGAGTTCCATCGAGATACAGATCCTCTTACTGGTACACTCAGCGTTCGTTAGTATTTGGACATGCCACATCCCCCACTTATCTTTATACTACTAGAGGGATGTGCTATGTTTCAAATGCAAAAGAATGGCCACTGTACGTTCAGTTGAAGGTTTTAAGCCAAAGATATGGTGGTACAAAAATGCGAAGCATGTCCTCCTTCCTAGTTTTTTTTGACAATAATAGTTTCCAAGGCAAGAGTTTTTTAGCCTCACAGATCTTTTCATGTAAAGAAAAGACCTTTCAAATGGACTGAGGCTTCCCATGAATCCAGGACCCACCACGACCGCCATTGCCATTATAGTACATCAAAAACATAATGTCAGGAGTATCGACTGTGTTGTGATTGTACGACAAGCGGCAGAAATAGTCAAAGCTCCTCACTTCATTCAGAAAATTAAGATCCAATCTTCTTGGCTGACACATAATTATTAGATATTGAAAGCGTGGAGAATGAAGATAGTTCGATGAAAGACTCACCCAATCCTGAGTCTCTCGATTGCATCTCGGCATAGTTTACGAATAGGTTCGGTTCTTCGAATAACATGACCAATCTGGAGGTATGGATGGAAGCTCAATGATATTACTGTCCAAGCTATTGCTTAGTCGTGAAAGATATCTCCGAGATCTGTCTTGTGCCCGTGGTTCTGTGATCCTCCACAGTGAGAGACGAAACGGAACATTTAGATCTGTGAGTAGCTCACCTGAAATAGGCTTCACTTGACAAGTAGCTGAGTCTGCTTCAACTCTTTCTTGGAAAGGAGTGTCTGTACGGTAGACAGGATCGGGCTTATATACCATGCCCGCAGATTGCGCATGCGAAGTTATGGTGCCGTGGATCTCTCCGTCCAACTCCTCACTGGGACCTTCCTCCTCTTCCCCACCCCAAAAGGAATCATTACTACTGTGATGGAAACCTAGGGATGGAACGCAATTGGTAAGAAAGGACAGAAGAGAGAAAGTGGGTAGACAACCCATTACAGTGATATGTGTCTGAGATCAAGGTGTTGTCAAAGACAGAGGAGCTCAGAAATGGGTCAGGATCCTTAATATATAGATCTGTACAATTCGTAAGTTCAATAGTATTCACTTTCTAGAAACCATCAGTCGCGATTAATGGATCTGCACAGTCATGATCAGTTCCACACTCTCTGAGAGAGCTATTAAGCTAATCTCCAAAGCCCTCTCCGATTTATCGGCTTTTCTTGACTCCTCCAGCAAGGCTGGCCTTAAAGCAATTGGTTTATTCGAGAATCGCTTCTCCATATTTCTGGGCTTGGCATCCCCCGGAAGACCTTACCCAGGATGCTAGATTTTTTTGGACAAGTGCAAGGCTTTGACATATGTGAGACCATCTGAACCTCTCGACAACCATGTTGACGCATTAATGGAGGAGGTGTTGGCGCATTGGAGCTATGGTACTGTTCTCAAATAAGCCCTGACAACTTGGCATTTTGATCATTGGGACATTGAAAAACCGCCTGCTTCAGCCTCAGATGATCTGATCTCCTTCCTGAGTCGGCCCAATAGCGCCGTGATTGAGACAATACAAGGCCGATATAGAAGCATGATGGGCCGGGGCGCTGTGGTGAATGATTCCTTCGATCTTTTGCTGGTCTCGATCTGAGTACGGGATAACGAGTTGGTTCAAAATTGTGTCTGAATACCCTTCATGTTTTCGGGATAAACCATGCCAAACAGACTGTATTAGACTAAGCTTGTATCATACATGCCAAATCTGCCCTATTCAATCCAATTGTGATCAGACAAAAGTCGGAAGACAGGATGAAATCAGCCAAAAAAAACAGACCGGCGCATAAAGCTCTGATATTGCAGATGAATCATGTCCTATTTCACTTTATCATGCAATATTGTGAAAGAAGCAGTGAGGATGGCACTGTCAAGTTGGACCTTGTGCTATGCTTTCCTTGTAAGGGATTGATGGAAGCGCTTACAATCTGTCAAGGCAATGATACGCCGTGTACGTGACCCGGTCCTCCATAGATCCTGGAAGAGGTCAAGCAGCTTAGCATTTGGGTGAAAACCCTCTGGTCAAACCAATTCGTGGGAAATTCGATTCTCAATTCCAGTAGCTCTCTAGAGCTATTCTTGTATGGGACTAGAGGCCCGGCATTCCGAGTCCGCTGCTTGTCGTGCCAAGACAATTGGAACCATGTTGGCGAGCTGGAGAACAACGATGGCCCCGAACTGTCCAATCATATCCAACTCCAAACAGCAGGATTTAGGAGGACAGCATTATAATCGTAAAGAGGAACGGCTTCAAGTACCTCTTGTCAAGGCTCTTCTTTTTGGGTCCGTCCACGGGACTACGTTGGGGGTGGGCGGCTGAGGCTTACAATGCACTGTAGTTAACGTGATCAATCAATATGAGAGAGGCTGAAAAGCAACATACCTGGAGTCGGTGTGTTGCCGGTAGCATCTTGACTTTCTCGTTTGACATAGCGGCGTCTGAGTTTTAAATTGGCGTTGGTGGCGGGCGATAAATCAGAGCCGGCTACTCCACTGGAGATTTGGTTAGGATGCAGTTGCAGATGCGTTTGGCGATGACAGGGGTAGGGCCTACCAGGCCCTACCCCTGTCGGATACCAAGACGGAGCGGTGGAGTGGATGGAAATAGGAGGGCGGTTGGTTGTGCATAAGGTGAGGGCTGACCTGCAGCCTCTTTTTTCAATGCACACGGAAGGATAAGGATAGAAATGATATTCACCACCTCCGCATCCCGCCCATTGACTAGATAAGAAAGTAAAGGTATGAGGAAACTGAAGCCTAATGTAGTACAAGGGAACGGAACCCGATTGGTAAGGAGATCTCAGCGATATACTTACCTGCACAGACCCAGTCGATCATCATGATCGACAGTGACCCAGAGAGAAATCGCATGTGGGGTCTGGGGCTATGTACGCCCGATCACAGGGGTAGGGCCTAGTAGGCCCTACCCCTGTCTACCCAATCACCTGTTGTTCCATTTCAAAACTTTCCCCGCCCTCCCTTGACCGTCTTCCCTCTTGAACATCTTCCTTCATCCTCTTCGTAGAAGATGGACCCGCATAGTCCCTCCTGTTATGTCTCCAGCTTGGAAAGACAAATCCAGAGCCTTCACCTAATATTGAAGGAATGGGCGGCTTATGTGCCGCAGGATGTTATTCTGAAATCCCGGATTTCGTTCGTGGTCAATCCTCAGGTCTCCCCGCTTGAATCTTCACAAAGCTCTCTGAGTAGCCAACGTCAAAAGACCTTGCCTCCAAGTCCACCCGAGCCAGAAGAAGCATGGAGGAAAACATTGATTTCCTTCATCAAAAAGATACCTACCGCTAAAAATTGGTCCAAGGCCATATCCTCTGCATCTCTCGATACCGAGTCTCTCTCATCGCCATCCATTCTGCAGTCACTGCTAAAAGAGCCCGGTCAAATTGAAGGAGGCCTTTCTTCAGTACCGGTTATTCAACGTCAGCATACAAACATACTCCATACGTTGGAGTCTTACGCTTTACTCACGCAAAAATGCGAAGACAGTGCAAAACTGGCGAAACTTATCGCATCCTATCAAAAATTTCTATTCGTTGCACTTTGTCATGTTGCATGTTGCGTCGGCATCGACGAAAATGTGGTGAACAAGATGATGGGGTCGATTTCAAATGGCAATCCCGAACATCTCCGACAAATGCGGCTCGCCGCGGCTTGGGGAGTCGCAGCGGTTGACAGGCTTCAATGCAAGAGCAAATGGGGCATGAGAAGTGGCGATATCCTCTTCTACTGTCTGTACACATTGTACCCATTTTCATTGGCCCATATAGAGCTGACCATGGAATTTAGTCACTCCGTCATTCTATTCATTGAGAAACATAGCCAAAGGGAAGCAGTCGATAGACGTCTTCACGACCTCTCTGTGTCAAAGTCAATATACAGAGATCAGTGCTCGTCTACCGAAACTTCACATGAACAATCTCTCTGTGCCTTGTATAATCAAGTGCATATTTGGGAAAACTGTCCAGTGTGTGCACAATCCCCGAAAGTGCTGCCATTTACTTATACTTGTTTTCCAGACTTTCTGAGATATGCAAATCTCTACGCGCTGATTTTAACGCCGCAAGGGATATATTTACCAGGTGGTATTTGGAACCATTTGGCTCTAATGCTTTTGATGAGCAAGAGCTCTCAAGCCTGTTCTCCCCTATGATTACTGTATCTCCAAGAACCCAGTGGGGAACTGGTCCAGGTGGTGGAATGATCAACCTTGCCGAGGATGTGCGGAAAAGACGGCGTACTGATAATGGAGCGGGTTCACCGACTACAGAGAAAACCCCGTCCGGTTTAGACAACCAGTCTACAATCGACACGCCAGGTCCGACTGTTTCTATAGATGCTCTTACAGTCGTTGATGATGATCAGATCAGCCCCCGGCTTTGTCCATCGAGTGAGCTCCTCAACCCTTTATGGTTATTCAACCTGGTACTGACTATCGAACAGCGCACGTTAATGCGGACTTTGGAGATATATCGCAGCAGTCCGCACGGGAACATTCAGTCCTCGCTGCTGGTACAGGTCTACAATTGATCGATGAGCGGCAGATAGGATGGCCAGTGCCCCAAGCGCAAGATTATTCAAGTAAGTCGCGGTTTGCAGATCGGTGGATAAACAGCTGAAGTCCGGTTAGATCATGTTCCTCCGCTTTCGGCTCGCTCACCGGATACCGCGGATGTACAAGCACTTGCGTATTCCGTTCCGTCCTTCAATGCGATATCTGCGATCCCGTTCTTGCCAGACTCCCCTTTTCCAGTTCATTCCTCGCCGCTTCCGTCTAGTTCGCTTGAATATTGCATTCCATCATTTTCTCAAATAACAGGCATCCCTTCCCCTGTATGATACCTGAACTCATTCCAGACTATCAAATCGTTTCTCTGCTCCAAGTAACCACACAGATACACGAGTTCAAGATCTCGATCAATCCACTCCATTCTACCGAGTCGCCCTTCGCGAGTGGTATTTTTGCTTCATGGTTAACAAGGGACACAGTCGCGTTCTCTTCGTAAAGGAGGATTGCTGTTAAAGTGCCGTAGGGTTCTCGTGGGGATGCTCCGTTCGAAAATTTGATCAAGCTCGTCTTCATGTTCTGCCGAGACGTTAACTAAAGGAGAAGAAATGAAGATTTGCGTATTTCCGATACCTCCTTTTGAAAAGGCCGAAGAAGTTCTAACGGGACATTTCGACACAGTCTCATGTGTGGCGCATCCTCCGCTGCTGAGAACTCTGCTTTCGGCAGCCAGTCGCTCAGGAGATCGCAAGAAACCTGATTAGGGTTTTTCGTAGTCGGTCGGAGGTAGGCCATGGGTCCATTCGATGAATAGCTACTAGCACTGATCCTAAGTGCACATGGACTGTATTGATCGTTTCGGGTTCTGCTTCAAAATATTCAAAACAATCCATGTTCTGCGATCGGATCAGAGGGCGGGGTTGGGCAGAACATCTGGGACAGTGCACGTGAACAATGGCCAACCCCCACTTCGGCACCTTTCCCCACCATTATTAGTCATTCGACATTCAATAACGTAGTTCCCGGCCGAGCGAGCCACCCGGTCGAGCGAGCCACCCCAAAACACATAGTAAATGCGATAAATTACTACTTCATATCTCAACAACCATAGGTTTTCATTATTTGAATATAAGCATATAGGTTCTCCTTAGCATTTGAAATAACATACTATAGTTTTAACTAATCTAGAGAATTATCTCGATGCTTTACCATAAAATACACTGCAATTTTAACGCAGGGATCAAAGATATATATATCGCCTATAATAATTCTTGCAATCTTTCTATGCTTTGCCAGTAGATTAGAAACAATACCTAGATTATATGTATTTAGTATCTTATTATAAATGACTATGGTTGTTGAGATAGGAAGTAGTAATTTATCGCATTTACTATGTGTTTTGGGGTGGCTCGCTCGGCCGGGAACTACGTTATGTTCTCCCTATTCTTGATTCAGATTTCTGCCATTTTCAAGAAGAAAAGCATCTCTGCTCGCTTAATTGTTAAATTTTAAGATTTAGGTATCACTTCTGCTACTTCAGCTAGCAGAAAATTCCATCAGACTCGGCGATATGTATAGAGGTTTAACAAACCAAAAGGCGAGGAACATTCTCATATTACGGCGAATATCATGTAAGGCTTGTGGGAGGAGGCACAGACCTAAGCCCATATCTTAATTGCGTCAGATAGCAGGGCTACTGCATGGTTGCAGAAGTCGCGACGCATGAATTGGTCCTAAGTGGCGTGGTGTTAACTGTGTATCGTGTTACACGTTGAAGTTAAGCGTAGCAAGTCGTCACGTGCCAGGACGCAAAGCGATCAAACCACCTAGCATACACTAACAGGGCTGGGCGAGAGGTTCCAACGCAGAGGTCTAGCGACCTGCTCCTGCGGTAAGCTGAAATCCCTCATTCACTTCTTCTATCTACCTGCCAGGAAGCGCTGGAAGGATAGATGGAACGGCCCAAAGGCGCTAGTAGCCCGTCTGCAATAATAGACTGAGGACTAAGTACATCTCGTGGTCACGGTACGGAGTAATCTCATTAGAAATGTAAGTTTTCATCACATGAAGGAATTGATCTCAGCGCCGGCGAATCGCTCATCTCGTTAACTTCAACGCCGTGGCTTGAAATGTCCTTTCAAAAAAGATATCGATTTCGCAGAACGGGGGACGGTTATCTCTACAATGTGTGCCCTAGCTAGCTGGATGCCGCTGCAGGTTACCTTGCTTTCCTACCCTCTATTGCCCTATAGAAAAACTGCCAACGTGGGGAGATGGACGCCAATCTGACGAGGAAAAACTGTAAATTGTTGCTTACTTTGCTGTTGACGAGAGAGTTCCACTTCGAACGACGACTGTATACGGCATATAGTCTCTCGCTGACCTCGAACAACAGGGTGGCCCTGTTGAATGAGAAGAGTTTGAGCGCTAACTCATCAAACGCTTGAATACAGAGCGTAATATCGACTGGTGATGGTGGCTTCCGAGAATACCTCGAGGCGCCAGCTGAAACTCCGATTGTCGCACATCATACTCGAAGGCTGCAGCAAGCCCCGAAATCGTATCTAGCCTTTGATTTCACGCACTTTTGTATCTGACGGCTCAAGTAGCTACTTTCCAACCGGGGTGTATTCTGCGTTATTTATTAGAACACTCAAGCGCTTCGGAGATCATTTTCCGTACAGAGCATACGTATATCACGGAGATGGCATTGAATGATAACCAGTGATGGGGATTGATAAATACCCGTGCCTTTGCCGCCAATGTCTGTCTGTCTTCAATACAGGTCAAATACACCTGCCTTCACAATCTGACTGCTGTTCGCCTATACTGCTTCCAAGCTTCACCCCGATCCACCAGCAACAAATATTTCTCGCACGTTTTCTACCGCAGTCCAGAAATTGAAGTCCCTTACCTGGAGTAATAGAGGAACAACCCAGGATGTCGCGTGGGTCAAGCATTATACCGAAAATGCCGTGGATCTTATTCCGCACCTACTGGACAAAGTTGATTCGGCCACTGTGCAGTAAGCACTAGCCCTCTCTCCGGAACGCCTTGATTGGCCGAAGTACTTAACAACGGATTGGGGGCGACCTTTATGCAACTCCTAGACATAATGACCCTCTCCACGGTTCTATATTATTAAGGAAGGTGGATTCCCGCGTTACATCCGCACATGTGTACCCCGATAGGAAAGTGGTCTTTTCGAAGGCTATGTATGGCCGCGTGAAGCTTCCGCGGATTCCCGCTGCACCTGAAGGCTCTGGCCCTTCTTAGTGATCCGGAGGGGTAATTTGGCGGCTTGTGTGTGCTGTTACGATATAGGGTGGTTGCGGTTGGTGCGGTTAGGGTAACTGATGTATCATAGGTTTTTAATAGACTAATATACTAAAGCTTCATTTCAAAACTACGAAACGCTATATGTATATAGACAGTCAAATACATTCTACTCTTGGAATTTGCGAAAGGATTAAGGATTAAAGTTTAGGAAAGGGCTTATTGAATATTCATGCAAATTATTATCTTATACAACTACACGGTGCACCTTTTGGTTGATAAACTTAGAACGCAAAGGGCTGCCCTGAGATCCGGTTCGTAGAAGATTTGGCCTTATTTTCCTAATACAACCGGATAGCTAATTAAGCCCTAAGTTTGAGGAATGGGTGATATATTAGTTCGCGAGCTGTCTTCCTCTTCTCTGGGAGCTAGGTAACTATATCTCTAACAAAAGATAGAAATGCTTCTCGATCGCTCTCTTCGAGGAACGTGGCTATATCCTTTAAATATCTAGATTAAATTAATTTATTATAGCAGAATTTTCCTTGAATTAGTTAGTATCTCGGGTATTAACGTGCGATAGTTGTCTACTAACCTTCTGCGTCGAAGAAAGGGCTACTAAAGAATTCTTGAGTATTATTGCAGAGTGCTCTAGCGTTATTCGTGATAGGCTAAGGCTAATTGTACTCTAATATAGCCCTTGATTTCGCGAGCAATATCCTAGGTAGAGGGCCGAGTTAGGTAATTATTTCCGCGAGGTATGACGTTGCGTCGTATTAGCTTTTCGTATATACCTGTTCAAATAACTCCTTATTTCCAAGGATATTCTATAGCTTATGAACAGGAATATTAGACTTGATGCTAAGCTAATAATTACAAATAAATATAGGGGAAACAGAAAGCGTTATATTATAAATAGACCTTAAGAAATAGGCCTAGTGTAACGGGCCAGAGCCCGGTGGTTAACCATATGCCATGGCTTTCCGGATACCGCCTTAGCAGAAGGGGGTCCGAGCGAGGTTCTAGTGGGTCCTACCCGAGGACGCTCTTAAGGACTGCGACCGACTCCTACCCCTTCTTCCTTCTTTCCTTAAGATTGTTGCAAAACAGCATGTTGGCCTAGTACAATTGAATCAATTCTGCTACAGCCCTTCACACCTAGGGTCTTACTAGTATACTAAAGTTCTAGATATCTACCTTAAAATCCTACCTATAGCTAAGGATTACCTCTAGAGCACGGTAATAGTCCGGTTATATAGGGTAAATACTAAGTCGCTCTCCTAATATTCCGTTTCGGGTAGATAGTTTGTCTAGTCTTATAGCGAGCCCAAAATCGGCTATTTTAGGGATAATATCTTTGATTTCTCTCCTATCAAGAGCACCGAAGTAATTATAGTAGCGGTAAATCTCCCGGGAATTCTCGTTGTCGACCTTAAATTTCATCGGTTATTATCGTTTGATAAAGTCTAGAAGAATGTTTTCGTTTTCAAAGCTTATAAGGATATTTTCTAGCTTTAGATCTAACAAATAAATTAGGTCTGAAATCCTAAAAAGGTATAGAAGAACGGCTTTAAACGCTTACCCGTATAGACGACTTTGCACTCTGTGTGAAGATAGTCAAGGCTAGCAAGGAGGAGTAGATATAGGCCTTCGTAATAGGGAGGGGGATCTTGGGATTAACGAAGCGCCTCTGTGAAATCTATAGAGGTTCTCTTATCGGCTCGTACACAAGACACACGTGCTTTCCTTCCGGACCAGTCACTTCGAAGTTATCTAGGCACGTCCGTAGAATTACGCGACCACGATACTCGGAACGCTATTAGGTAATATAGCTTTCAATCTCCTTATAACAAGCATCGTTAGCGTTGCTACTGTTGATTATTTTCAGGGCTACGGTTTTTTCAGATTGCTATTTAAGTCTTAGTTATAAGGATCGGGGTTAATTATCGTGGTCAACATAAAGCAAGCAAGCGTGGTTACAGTGTGGAGAAGATACCTAGAAATGTCTCGGGCGAGCCAGACGATTGATTGTGATCCCTATCTAATTTTGACAAGTAGTTGAAATTTGTTGTCGAGGACCTCCCCGGTTTTTGTTGGGTAGAATGTCGCTGAATTGTAGTCAGGATAAACCTCAATCACAATCATGTTTCCACTATCTATCTATCATCTACTGTTCTTGACAGATGCACGGGCCTATCAGATGCATGCCATACTGCTCCAATTGTTACTTATGTTGGCAAGTTGCCGTCTCCGACCTGAATCAGTGAGAGAAGATCGCGCCGTCCCAAGTCTGCCCAAAGCAAGACAACTTGTCACCTTCGAACGATATAACTCCGTCTGTTATTCAATTGTCAGCACAACTAACAATTACTCCCAGTGAGTTAAATGCGTGAGAAAGAGACTATATATACCCATATTAATTGATGTCAACTGACTGTCAGGTTTGCAAGTTGCTTGAAGCATTGGCAGCCTGGCCAGGGCATCACCCATGTCACACGAGCCCATAAACCCACCACTATGTAGAGACAGTATGTTAGAACACTAAGCACCCAGTGATAGATCAAGTCATTGCGTACTTCTCTCGCGCGGTCAGCTGTCCATTATCATTTGCGAAGCAGTTGGTCATCGAAATGTAACCTTGCTGCTGTTTACTACCATCGCAATAGCAGGACATTGTTCCATCATTACTAGCCGTGCACAGGTTCCAATCAAGCTGGCAGTCGGGTTTAGTTGTGGTAGGGCCAGCACGGGAGAGCAAGACGTTTAAAGCGAGCAGAGCCAGAAAGATCAAAGGCATTTCTAATAGTAAACGTGCAGCGGTTCAGCTCTTGAGGATTTGCAAATAGCGAATCAATCGACAATCGCTAGGTTTAAGATTATAGGTGCCGATTACAAGAGGCGCTTATATATTACGAACTATAGCACTCTGTCTTTTCTCGTTCTAGTTCTGACCTTCAGGAGGCCCTCCATAATCAATTCCACCACCCTCTGCTTTCACCGGCTTCTTTTAACCCCAAATACCTACCGACCCAGCTCAAAATAGGCTATGCTGTGTTACATCGGCTATTTGGTTTTATGGAGAGATGCAATTGCAAATTGCACCGTTTATTTGAGATGCCGCGGCATCATCTAAGATAACAGCTTGGTGAATCAATGTCATTATGAAAGGTGTTCGGTTCAACGGCTTCTCCGGGATCACCAGACCATCGGTCCAGTCAACATAGCCAAGATCACCTGAGCTGTTCAATTGTGCTCTATTCTAAACTCTGAACTGTAGAACATCCACCATTTGATATCGTCACAGTAGTGAATATTCTTGCGTGTGGACCACATTCCTGCGATATAAATCCACATTGGCATACTGTACTTTGATTCCTAGTCTGGATGAGCTTAGTCACTTCGGCTCCAACTTGACTCAGTCAACCTTACCAGAGTACGGTGGAAAATGCCTATCATCCTTTTTTTTCTGAAAATCATGGAATTCGGTGACGTGACTGTCAAGCTCGTCCGCGTATGAGTGTATGATCTTAGTCGGTGGGAAGTGGAAATCATATTCAAGGCCCATCACAGATCCCGGAGGATCAGTTTACAATTTGTCTCTCTAGATAGCCGAAATTCCGGCAGAATTTGGGAGAGATGAAAAGACCGGCTCACTAACTCCTAGAGGGACTTCCTCGTATATCAAAGTCAGTACTGCATACTTACAGAAAACATTTCGAGCTATGTCTGCTACCATTCATTGTGCACTATTTCTCAAAAGTTACGAAGATCACAAGTCACTTTGATATCGCCAGATCGAGTCTATACATATCACTTCGAACTCCAAGCTTGAGATTTCAGATTCGGCGACATGTCTCCGCGGCGGAAAAACACGAGCCGCTTTTTGTCAGCTATACCCTCATTATACCCTCATGGATTCCTGACCAAAAACCAACCTGGGCTGCAACAGGGGGCGACAAGACCATCACCCGCCACAACCTAGTGCGTAGCACACCGACTCAAGAGCGGAAACGATCTTTCCCCAAATACAGGTAGAGTGCACGAAGCTTCTGATATTGATGATCGAATGCTTATTACATCCAGCAGCTTTGGCCATTTGTGACTGTTAGGCTGCCCCTGTGGCGCGCGGCTCTGAAACCACTTTGGCGCCTGGGCGAAGTCTAGCATGGCCGTGACCGTCCTAGCCCGCGAGACGGTGTATGGTTTGCCTTTCTTACCTTCAGTTAAGCCTCCCAGAATACCCGAGATACTGGCGAACACGTCTCCCACTTCACTCCGTAACTTCCTTCGAATATCCCTTACCTCTGTACAGTCCATTAGCAGGAGCTTTTACAGTATACACTTCTCTCTTCCGGTTTATCTGTCCGCGGGTAAAGATATCACTACCGTGGGTTAGCGTTACGAAGAAGGAAGTTCCCATCTCTACGGGAGTTTCCATTAGGCGATTGCTTGCTGTCTTCTAGAAGAGAGGTGTAAAGACTCCCTGTCACCCCTGTTTTAGCTTCTTCCTTTTCTTTTTCCTCTTCCTCCTCTTCTTCTTATCTCACACTCCCACTCTGCAGCAGTTAGCTCTCTATCCTGCAGACCATCTTTTTAGATATTCCACAACATCAGGCTTTCCGGTCTGTTGAAAGTCACAACCCTCGTCTCGTTGAAACCGTCATCCACCATGGAAGACATACCGAACGAAGACTTCTGCCTCCCTTGCCTTGAACGTTCTGACCGCCTCTGGCATGGAGGCGAACCATTCCGAGTTTACTGTGACCATACCGCTGCTTGCCAGCCATTTCCTGCTAGTCTCGAAGGCACTCGCCTGGAATACCTCGCCCTTATCACTACCATAGACCGGAACTTCAAATATTCGGCTATGAACCCTGATTCGTACAACGCGAAGATAACTGAGGCGACCCACAACCTCAATGCTGAATTCACTAAGGCTGTCGGAGTCCACCAGCGCCGGTACTTCGATGACCAGGCTGGGCTTGAATCCTTCTGTGCGTCCCGTAGAGCATCTATCGACCCTGAAAAGCCTATCTCTGAGAAAGGAATACCTGGAGCCTTATATGCCAAAGCTACCACAAAGCCGCGCCTACAGTGGGGTGATCATGGCTGGTATATCTGGCAGGCGGCCATGAAGGACTTTAATCGCACTATGATGAAGCTGATTGACGAGTATGATGAGTCCGATTACGTTTATGGCGATGAGACCTGCTTGCAAGCCTGGATCCGAAAGTTCCCCTTGCCTCTGAAGAATTGAGGCTCAGATAAATGTTACTGAAGGACACAGGAGAGGCTTCATGAGTTTTTAAAGCACTATCAAGCTCAATTCATGCGTTTGCAACCTCTGTGGACTGAAATATCTGTGCTCCCCTACTCAGCTGCCCCAGGCTGTAGAACATTGACCGGGGAATGGATGGAAACCCTGCAGATGGCTCTCAGTTTCCAGTGACACATGTGCTTCGGGCACCTGGCGCTGAACTGGTATCAAGTTGCGTGCGGTCATTGCCTCCTCTAGCTCCGATATCAACATCCCCAGATTTTGATGTATTGATGGGCCTCTGGCAGGATCGTGAAAGGCCCATGACTCTGCGAGAGTCAGCAGTTTCGCTGGGCATTTCGTTGTGACGCAATAATGCATCTGGTTGAGGACCATCATCATCAGGAATCGATGGTTGGCCCGTCTGTCCAAGACTTATTTCTGTTCCTGAATAACCACCGTAGACAGGAACCATAGAATCTATTGTTGAGGTCAGATGTTAAAAGGTTTCTACCTTCATTGAACTCCAGTAAATATGGACACCCGCCTAGGCTAACAATTTGAGACCCTAGGACAGAGCCTTGCCCAGTGTAACCTTGAGCGCAAGAATGTAAAGTAGCTCTCTTCTAGCAGACGCCTCGAAATTTCTGCTGTCGTCATGTGGCCTCTTCCGGCCTGTATAACCAGAAGCAACTCCGGTAAATAGGGCAATATGATAAGAGTTGCGCATCTGAAACGCGCATCAGTAAGACTTATATGCATTATATATTGCTTCATATGCCTTCCGCAATATTGATCGATAATCTTCGTCGTACATCGTTTCTTCATAAGCGTTCAAAGGTTCAATCTTATTTTTGATAGCCCAGCTCGTTCGAAACTAAACAAAAAGGACAGTTAGTAACTAACCCTATATCCTAAGGGGTTAACGCACATTTTCGCTGCATGCACCAGAGGAAATTCCAGTATGGCTTCTCTCCGACTAAACAACGACCACCTTCTACTATATCGTTCGAGATACATGCATCGCTTCCGCGCGCGTTCTTGATCTTCTTTAGGTAAGTCAGCGCTGCGATAAGCTTCGCCAATGATATTTTTGACTGCCTTCGTGAGAAGCTTCCCTTTCTCGCTGTCGGTGGGATCGGTCTCTCGTTCCAACCGCTTTTTCTCATTTTGAACAATATCATGTAGTATGATGAGTACGACCCTTCGGCGGATAGGGTTAAGCGTTGTTGAATCTTCAAGTTCACCAACATCACGTAGACAACAGTCAGCGAGCGCGGGATTCGAAGGAGGCCGACTGTGCCCCCAGAAGTTTGCAACGGGTTCCGAGATCCAGTCGTACAAGCATTGCGGTACATTAGTTCCGGTGCGACGCCTCCATTTCTTTGTTAGTTCTGCCAGGCGAGAGGCTTGTTCGGCTGAAAGTCGCTCTTTTTTATCGTTCTCCCTGGAACCATTCTTCAACTTCCATTCCTTTTGAATTACTAACACCACTATGTCCAACTAACTTTGCACGCTATGATGCTATTAATGTATGCGAAACCGAGATCTGTCGTAAGTTATGAGCAGCTTCCTTCATTAGATTAGCAAACTTATAGACGAGAGTTCAGCAATTTAGCCTCACAAGTTCACCAGCAGATTGTACCAAATCGGCAAGTTCCTTACGTCTCAACGGTATCTCGATTTGGACCTAGGCCCGTCATGTGAGTCTCGTTTTTGGGATACCGTCTTCACTAGACATACCAGAGAACTACTATTATTGCCTATTGTGTATGAGCAACTGCCGCGTAGATTCAGTTCCAAAAGGCGATAGTAGGAACAAGGTTGAACAAACATGAACCCTGGAGGTACTTTTGTTAGGAACATTCTCTAAGATTCCATAGAGAATTACAGTACCTTACAATGACGTATTCGGCGAACCCGCTTGATGCCATATCACTAAACAGGGATTATGTCTAGAGTAACCTAATACAGATTAGGGCGCTTCAAGGTAAGGTCTAGGAAACAATTCGTATGTGTAAAAAGGGGAATCTGTTTTCGACTCCGACTGTAAGTGATCACCGTTGTTCTTCAAGCCTAACCCCCGACAATTTCGCTCGAATCTTCAAGGGAAATATTAGAATAACGTTAATCGCATTATAGCAGAATACTTCCTTTTCTTGCCTACGTAGCTATGCTATATCTAATCGCGATCAAGTCCCTCAAAACTCGGTGATTTGACTTACCTATTCATAACAAAGTCAAGAGCGCCGCTACCGAGCCTTCACCAATCGCTCATTATTCATCACACATTAGCTAAAAATTTATTCGTCTTCGTCCAAAGCGTTGCAGACACTCTATAGTCTCTGGTATCTCATATCCAGCAGACCTTGACAAAAGGTCCCTTCACCACAGAGGTCAAGAGCGCCAGCCTATTTAGAGAGAAACTCCTAGCTCTAGCATAGGAGACTTACACGATAGGTCCTATCTCCGTCACTTAATTCTGCCAGAAAAAAAACTGCTTTCAACTCTCGAAATATTGCAGTCTTGTCAGGCTGTTTTGCAAGCGGACGTGAACCTTGCGCGAGTCTTTGATACTCCTCTTACTAGCGATCTTAAAGCGGATAGACTTTGCTCCCTATCCAGAGAATGCAAACCGCATATATTAGAGGCCGATCAGGCCGGATGCACTATTCCTAGGCTAATATTGTCCTACCCTCAACATATAACACAAAACAGCAGATCGATAGCAAATATCATGTCCACGTGGATAATGGTCAGGCATTGTTAGAGGTGGTCAAGGGGGATCATAACTTTATTGCTACCGGTCTTCCGTAGCAGCTTGTTAACCCTTATTCATATTATTGTGACGGGGCATCGGAAACCAATATTGTCAAAATGACTCGATCTCAAATAGAGCCTCGGAAGGATCTCACCTTGCAATCTTTGTACAGCCCGCATTTCTTTATTACTTAGTCATCCACACTGCTAACTAGTGCCCATCCAGTAAATCAAAAAATCGATAATTTTTTGACAGGGCTATTTAGAAGGATGGGAAAACTACAAGAAAAGTACTTAGCGTTCGGGCTTCAGGGAAAGATCTCGGGCAAATTTACTCGAATCGACTAGGAAACATCCATAACCCCCAAGGATTCAGATAGATCTAAGATAACTAAGCAGGGTAAGAATCGAAAAAGTAGACCTAACCTTATCAGAAAGTTCCGCAAAGTCACTAACAACCTCTTCAGGCCAAAACCGTTCCTGGACTCATGAGGAGGCCAGGGATTTACCCTGCTGGTTCGAGCAGCATCGGAGCCTATCAGAGAAAGAAATTAAGGATAGATATATGCTATTCTCTGGCCAAGATCGAAGCTATCTCTCCTTATAAGCCCAACTCTACAAACAAGGCTTTGGCTATTTATGCAACAAGAAGAAGAAGCCTTCGCATAGAAAGCATGCCCCCTCCCAGCTACCTCCTTCGGCTCTGAGACTTTCCACTACCAGGGAATCTACTGATCCTACCCAAGTCTCTATAGCTAGGGGAATCATTTCTAGATCGCTCTATCCATTCTAATAGCAATCTTCGGGAACCCAGACGATAGGAAATAAATGTCAGTTGCGGAGTCCACCATCGCGAGAGCCCCAAAAGGGCAGATCGTTATTAGAAAAAGAAGACAGTGAGCCTAGACTAGCTATTAAACCAGATTGCTTGTGCTTGAAAGTTACCAAACAAGACAGCTACAGGTATATTTCTGCTATCAAAGAGATTTCCGTGCATATAAACGAAACACTCGGTCCAAACAAAGAGCCCCTTGCAACGATCTTCCCAGGTCCTTAGTCCTCAATCTCCCGGCCAATTAAGGGCCGATCAGAATTTGAATATATTGATAGACTACAAGAATCATTGTCACGTGAGAAGTCCCATAATGGTTTCCAATTACAAACTAGGTACCCGTTGGATCGTGCGAATCGTGTAGAAACTTTTGCTAATTACTTCTAGGTATAGTAGAGCCGGCGGATCGTTCTGACTTGAGTTCCCAGTCGCTAGTACTATCTAACCAGTGCCATCAAACCTAGACGAGTCTATGAGAGTCCAAGCGGGATTTTGCCGTCGGCTGAGTCTTCTGACGGAATTAGTAAAGGAAGTGTGTATACGCTTGCTATTTCCGAAATGATCGTCAGAATTCTAAGAGTGTTACCAGACGTCTTCATATCTTCACGCCCCATGTCCCGCCTTCCTAACATGGAGATTCGCAGTGCTAGCACTCCAGTGACGGCCGAAAACGTCGCCAGCCACGCAATCGCCTCCACAGACTCAGTCGCCTGATTTGGGGGTTCCGTCGCGGCCCCCGTCGCACACTGGGCCGCACGCGTCCGAGTCCGGCCCGCCCCGAAAGCGCGTCCGCCGCTGGCACAAGCGCGGTTTCACTGGCTGCTCCACCTGCTACCGTCGCCATGTTCGTTGCGACGAGGCTTCACCGACCTGCAATAACTGTACAAGCCTTGGACTCGAGTGCGATGGTACGCAGGGTCGTATGCCCTCCAAGGTGTACCTCGGCGCAAATTCTAGCACGAACGAACTTCCTTTGCCATTACGCCCTACAGCCGGGAAACAACGGATCATACTAATCGTCCGGAGGCGTCCTCGAAAGACAAGCAGATTCTGAGACATGACAATGGGAGCAATGATGCAAAAGTTGGCCCGGCTCTTTCCAAAGAACTCAATTTTGAATCTGCCAACCACATACCATAGTGGATTGCTACCGTAAACTAATTATCGAAAGAGCCACAAGAAAGCGATTCTCAAACAGCATTGGAAAGCAAGATACGCCATCTTCTACTAATGGCCAGCAAGCTACACGGTCTAGCTCAGAATGGCAGCGCTGTTCAGAGATCAATCCCTGTGAAAGCGAGGTCGGTCCCTCGACTTCCATGGAAAGAGAGCCCGGTAACTATGTGCAAGTCACGAGCTACACTAAACAGACACCACTCACTAATATCCCTACTTTGCAGCCAGTTGTTGAGATATCGAACAAAGCGTATTGCAGTGCTGCACCGGGTTCTGAACCTCCCCAGGGTGACTTACATATGATCCTTGAAACTATAACTCAGCCAAGGTCAAGGCCAAAGCGTGCATTGAGCCATAGGACCAAGACTGGCTGTATAACTTGTCGCCACAAAAAAAGAAATGCGATGAGCAAAGGCCATCATGTATGTAAACCCTGTGCACGCTAAGTAAACATCTATATTCTCTGACATGCTTCGTTGACGGTCTATTTCAGGTGCCAATTGTATGCGAGCTGGTTATAAATGTGAGGGTCACAAACAGCCACATTGGCTGAGAGCCATAGCTTCGGCTATGACCATGCCAGCACGGCGCTCTGAACATGACATGGAGATCAGTGCCCACAATCGCTTTGTTCCAACCGAGCACAGTCCAGTACTTGAAACTGATTTGACTGCGGTTCATCCCAATCCCCCATTACAGTGAGAGTCGAAAACAGTTTCCCCTCTGAACACACAAGGATTGTTTCTCGGCCCGTACCCGAAATGAGACTAGTCCGTATCTGTAAAAGTCGTAAATAATCCTTTTCTAAGTATAGATTTTATTTTATTCCGGGACGACTGCAATACGTATAATATTGTATGTTACCCGAAATCCTGATACATTCCTACCTCATTGCCCCTCAATGCCCGTCAGACTCCCATATCCTGACATCCGCAACACCCACTGCGTCGACAATTGCTAAGGTTCATACACAGCATGGCACCGAGACTACCCCAATCCAAGTTGCAATTTATTCATGATATGATACAAAGCCGATCACTAACCACATCTCAAATGGCCGAGGCAGCTGAATGCAGCGAACGGACGATAAAAAATATCCGCAAAAATTTACGACTGTTCGGAAGCGTCCACGCCCCCCCCAACCGTATCGGTCGGAGACGAAGCATAACGCCACCGATGTTGGAAGCGCTCTGCGATCACCTGTTCGAAAAGCCTGGTCTCTATCTTGACGAAATGGCGGTCTTTCTCTGGGACGAATTTCGTATGCTAGTGACGAGCTCAAGTATCAGGAGGGCCCTTGCGTTTAAGGGTTGGTCAAAAAAGACCACGCAAAGGAGGGCCAAGGAACAGAACGCAGAATTACGAGAGATTTATCTTCATAACCTCTCGGAATTTGAGTCATACCACCTAATCTACGTTGATGAGTCTGGATGTGATAAACGGATCGGCTTCAGACGAACAGGCTGGTCACCTCTTGGTGTAGCCCCCGTACAGGTGTCACAGTTCCATCGTGATGACCGGTATCAAATACTACCTGCCTATGCCCAAGATGGTATTGTGCTTTCTCGCGTCTTTCGCGGCTCAACGGATGCCACTGTGTTCGAAGATTTCATCGATCAGCTTCTTAGGCACTGCGGAAGATGGCCGGAGCCGAAGTCCGTCTTGGTCATGGATAACGCATCGTTTCACCACTCTGAACGTATTGCACAGATGTGTGCTGACGCTGGAGTTAAGTTGGTTTATCTCCCTCCCTATTCGCCGGACCTCAACCCAATTGAAGAGTTCTTCGCCGAGCTTAAGGGTTTCATTAGGCGCAACTGGAGGTACTATGAAGAAGATCCAGACCAAGGTTTTGACCGCTTTCTTGACTGGTGTATTGATAAGGTCGGTGCAAGAGAGGAGAGTGCTAGAGGTCACTTTCGGCACGCCGGGGTGACCATTGAAGCTTGGGATACCTGACGTTCGGAATCCTACCACAATTTGGCTTTGAAGTTTTCACCTGAAACACGCTACGTTTGATAGATTGTCTCACTTGGCACCAGAAGTCAATGTCTTTGTGGCGCCTAATCAATATATGACTGCCAACACCAGATCAGGGCGATGAATGACGTAAAAGCGGCAAGTATACAAATCAACTCAAGCTCCTAGGCTCAAGATCTAATAAGCAGAAGGCTGGGGACTGGGCGCTAAAAGGGTCCTCTTAATAGGCTGAGAGCACCCCTACCAGATGGGACTCGGCGCTATTTTAGAGGCGCATTTGGGGGCTGGCAGCAAGGCGCAGCGCACGATTTCATTCTCATCCGTCGGCGCAAATTCACAACCTCGAATGTTTTTACAAGCTCTGCGAAGCAACAAATCTCGCTCTCATCTCCACCTCTCGATATCAACCTTTCACTCATCGACATCATGGCTGAGCTGGTAGGAGTCGTGTCTAGCGCCATTACATTTGCGACCCTTGCAATCCAAGTCGGCAAGTCTGTTCAGACACTTAAAGGCTACTGGGATTCGATGCGCGATGCACCAGATGATGTCAGATCGCTACTGAGAGAAGTCGAGATCCTCGGCTTCATAATGGCTGACGTTGACGCCGACTTATCACGAAGATCTGTGTCGTTAGCACTGATAGACAGCCAGCATGTTTCACAAAGTTTGCGCTTCTGCAAAGTCGCTGCGGAAGACTTGGAGGCACTTTGCAAGGACTTATTGCATCACGTCGGCTCGTCAAGCTGTTTGCGCAGGTCCTACCGGGCCGCAAAGTTGGTGATACGCGAAAGGAAGATTGAGAAGCACGTCTCAAAGCTCCATAACGTGGTTCGGCTACTTATGTTATCCCAGCAGTGTTATACCAGGTACGTCTTACGAATTCAGTGCATTAGATGACTGAGATGGCTTTGTACTGACAAAACTAGAGCGCTCATACAGGCTCAACCGAATTTCATCGCGGAGGAAATAAGAAATCTGGGGATAGTTTCCTCACACGCAGATGTTGCAGAACCTGTTTCAGCACCTCATTGTGAGTCCATCTTGGTGATCGACTTCTTTGAAACTAATCCACTGTTCTCAGGCAAGAACCTGGCTTCAACCGGGACGTTGGTGCGGAGTTCAAAATTGGAAAATGGACGGGTTAACCATCGCAAAAGTCGTCTTTGGCTTCTCCGCGCCCCCTACTGGATGACATCTCGAGTATTGGAAATAACTAGCATGAAAACTCCCTTCGGATGGGACTGGAGTCTTCGAACATACAATGAGGTTCGCTGGAGTAGTGAACTTGATTATTATTTCAGGCAAGGAACTTTAAAAGATCTCCAGGACCTCTTTGCCTCAGGACAGCTCTCCCCACTCTTCCGAGAGCAGGGTAGCGGGCGGAGTTTACTCCATGTAAGTGCACCATATTCGTTCAAGTTGAATCATATTATGGCTTTTTCGTGCTGACTTACCAGTATGCGATCTGCGTTGATAGAAATGAACAAGTGGTTGAGTTCCTCCTGGGCCAGGGAGTGGACCCATCTGTCGAAGGTGGATTCTCCAAGTTGAAGACACCTCTGCGCCTCCTCTTAGAGAATGGGAGACATGCGGCATCTGATAAAGACTACCCGCTTTTACCATTCCTACGCCCCCCTACTTCGACATTCACACGACTTCATATATGGAAATGCCCAGGACGCAGCCGAAGGAATATTATCCGAGTTCCATGGCACCTCTGAAGAATTCATATTTTTGCAGCAACACTGTTGTCCCATGTTTTACCAAATGCCACGGTGGGTGCGGATATCCGTGGCATCGAAGATCGTCTTTGATGCTGAATATTCCTACTATGCTGAAGAAGCAACTAATACCCCCAACTTGGTTAAAACGGTCCTCGGAAAAGACACATTAGAAGCCCAAGACTTCCAGACAAAGTGTACTTTACCGTTGACCTCAAAAGAAACGACCTTGATGCACTGCGTCGCGCAAAAGCTAGGAAACAGCCGGGCTTTCCTACAAATGTCTTGCCGAAGAAATCTGCACGTCGGCAATGGATACCAAAGGTTCTCTCGGCCTGCCAGAGCCCACTGTCACGCAAGATGGCAAGCTATTTGCGAGTCGTGGAATACTTTGTTCTTCGACTTTCTGCGGGTTGGTGTGGATGTTCATCAAATAGTCGATGGAAAAACTCTATTTATGGTATTTTTGGAAGCGTATCTGGCTTCCCAAGTATCCCTCCCAGAGTTTAACCAAGTTCAGTGGCTTGACCAGGAAGAGTTCCATGTGGGTATTCGGGCCTGGCTGAAGGATATGAAAGCCGCTGGCCTGAATTTGAAAGCGCTGGGAGCAAAACAGAGGCGCACTTGGGAAAGCGGAAATGTTCAAAGGGACTTCAATGGGGGCCTACACCGGGTGACTGGAATGTCTTATGGTCCAAATCCAGAAGACTGGTATATATGGCTGTCGGAACCTTCTGATTCTTTTGTGGGGGATTTTTGGGCTTTAGTCGCGCGACCAATTGAGACGATGCCTGGGGAGTGGCCAGGCGAATAGCTTCAAGGGGGATACTTGAGCAAGTAATTTGGCTTGTCATTGGACAAATTGAAGAAAATCGATTCCCTTGTCCACAAAATAGAGAGTTGCGTCACCTAACGCCAGGAATTTGTCTGATCACAAGCAAGAAAACGCCAAGTCCCCAACGCCAATACTATGCCTTCTATATCGACCCAGGAACGGGCATCGCTTTTTTCACGTTTTCAACCCATTCACGAATATTCTCTACGAAACTTCTGGCAATTCCGGGTTTGATTCCCTTGCCGACGAAGAATTCTGGGTTTTGATCCTTGTAGATATGCTCAAGGTCAAAGCCATCTGACAACGCTACGTCGCACGCTTGCCGGAATGCAGCTTTGAGAGTATCATCGGATACACTTGATGCGAGCCACTCACCGTATTCTTTGACGGCTACGTCTCTGTACCCTGGGATATTCAGGGGACCCACATCTTTCGGGTTCGCCGAACCATCAGACCGCTTGGGAGCCGTTACGTCCAGACCAGTGAGGTGGGACGGAAGAACATTGATGTTGATAGGTGGGTATGGCGTTCCGCTTCCCAGCATGTTACTGGCTTTGCGCTTGTCTTTATCTTGCCTCTGCTGCTCGTCCATGTATATGTCATCCCGGATCTCATCAGGAACATCTTTGTGCGTCTCCAGAACGCCACCTTTCTCGGCGTAGGTGACCAGTCGCTTGAGAGTTTGTGTGCGGAGTTGATAATGCTTCTTTCCTACCGGATCCAGCCAGCAGTAAGGGCCTAGGTGGCATGCAGCTGAATCACATTTCATCAAGTCATAAACGCGGCGCCAAATTGCTTGCTGACCACATGCATTTTCTTCAGCATCTAGCTGTGCATCTCGATCTTCGAGCATCCTCTTCGTGACAGAAGATTTCCCTCTCTTCTCCCCTTTCCGTCCAGCAGACAGGGAATTGCAATCCTCGATATAATTGAAACACACCCTCAGCGTGAGTCTCTTGCCACGGCAAAAGTGACTAGACCACATTCGGAGTTGTTTCTCGATTGGTGTCCAGACAATGTCGGTCTTGTTAAAGCGCTTAGTTAGATCACGCTGGGACCGATCGTTGACTGACACGATAATCGCCGTGTCATCAATCCTGACCCTCTTGTTGCGGGAGACTTTCTCTCCTACGACAGACTGCAGCTTCCGTTCCAGGAATAACCGCCAGTAGGCGCTTGGGGCCAATACCAAGTCTTCTTCTGTGTCCTTCACCACGGCTTTGTTGTTGAGGGCGACCCGCCACTCTATGAAGTAGTGGATACAGCTTGGTGGATATTCGTCGTAGGTCTTGCCTTCTTCCCATTCGAATTCCTGGAGCAATGGTAGAGTATCTTGTCGAGATCGGCGTGCGGGGCTGAGCTCATTGTCGAGCAGTACAGATGGGGAAGGACTACAAGCAGATCGCGTAGCATAAGGGCTTCGGAAGCATCCAGGGGTAGGCGCATATTGGGAGTCCTGTTCCCATGGTTCAAGCTCCTGGGGCTGAGAGATGTAGTCAGCGTGATATGGGCTGCTGCTCATATCTATACACGATCGGATCTCTGGACACCTGCGTCAGCTTACATTGGCGGTTCAGCTTTGATTAGGCACCATGAGCGAATAGAAACGGGAGGAGCGAGCAGGATCCATGGGGTAACACAAACAAGAACCATAGTTGTCCTACCAGAGTTACATTAGTCCTCTAGAGCAGTGAAACAGCCTTTGTCACGTAAAAGAGTGAGTGAAGAGAAGACAGAGGCAGCAAAAAGAAGGCAAATGACGGGCAGAATCAGGCCAGATCGCCAGATCTCCCTCCCCCACCTTCGAGAAGTTCACCTAGAACCTTCTATGTGGGTTTTCCAGTATTTTACAGTGACTCATTGCGCGCTGAAATCTAATACACCCTAAGACGCATGCGGCTAAGCAGGGGTTGTTTACAGAGTAACCAAATATGGCCTAGCGTGGTTTCGGGTACGAGCCGAGAAACCATCGATGTGTGTCTGAAGGGGAATCTGTTTTCGACTCTCACTGTATTCCAACAATCTATCCATAGGGAAAACTCCGATTTTGGAAGCACTGCATGCTTGTCTAACGATAACCGATCTACTCGTGTAGACCCTTCCTCGGTATGCTCAACCGGTCCTTTTAATCGGTAACCTTTATCAACACATGCGACTTCGACATCTTCTCCCCCAGTGCGCAAAAAATGGACAATTCCTTCAATCACGAAGTCCTTCCAGATGTTGGGAACAAATACACTTCGTATCCCTCTCAAGGGGAGAACGAATACAATAGAAGACTCTGCGGCCTTCTAGACTGCCGCGGTGTCTTGCACACGAGTATGAGATGGACATGTATATAAAAATACACAGAGCAAAATGTAGAACAGACGGAAAGAGTAAGTTAGTGAAATAAGGTTGAACAGTAGTTCGGGAGGTGCCAAATAGTTTATTCTTTTTGAAGGCCAGCTTCTCCTACTCATCTGCTGGCAGCGGCCTAAAGGTCACCACCGTAGCTCAAGCCCGAATCCTTTTATTAACTATTTCCTCAGGACCGGGCAAATGGTAGAATTAGCGTGTATTCGTGATCTTTAGTAACCGGGAGTGAGAGCATATGGGGGAATCTGTTCCTGTAGTCGGGAGAAGGGCCCTTCTTCAATCCAACACACATCCTACTTCCTCAAGACCCCTTTAAGCACTTAGGTTTAACGAATTGGAAAGTCTGGTGGACCCAATATCAGCCAAACTACTCCTTAGGCCTGCGAGCAAAATTAAATGCTAGTAGGAAAGAGTATATTCCCTTAAGAAAACAACAGAATGGCCTGTTCAGCAGTTCATTTCCAATTGTTGAGGCAGACTAAACAGGTGATGCGGTGGTGAAAAGAGAGGGTGGTGAAAAGAGAGGGTGGTGAAAAGAGAGGGTGGTGAAAAGAGAGGGTGGTGAAAAGAGAGGGTGGTGAAAAGAATTAGGGAGGGGGGTGGGGGTGAAGAGAGAGGGTGAAGAGAGGCGGTGGTGACGAGTAGCAGTAGTGAATAGCGGGTGGTGGTGGGAAATGACAGTGTTCGCTTTAGTACTGAATGAGGCCACGTAACTGAGCAAAAGATGCACAAGGCTTAATATTGTGTTAATTGATGTGCTAAGACTATGGCGTATTGTTCGTGTCGGTTAGCCGCAGGTTGTTCCCGGCTCCCGCCCTGAATGTCCTTGCCTTGGGTCCCCTGGGGTGCGTCCAAGTATACCGAAACGCACGTGACAACGCTAATCCCTAGTGTCCGTAGAATGATTGGTTCACGGTCGTCACTCAAATAACTGCGGCCCCCGCGCTTCTTTGAGGTCCGTAACATATCTACAGTCCACTTTAGCTTTTTTCAATATTGCTTAATCAACTAAGTCTGCGACGGGATTATAAATTTTGTATGGGTCTAATGAGCTTCGTTTCGGCGGAAGGCTTGGGGCTGTTCGCATGAGATTAGTTCTAGAGGTAATCAATGAATAAATTAATAAATTTCCGTCTTCCCCAGGATGACTAGCAGCTGCTCTAGGAACTTTACCTTGAGTTTTGTTACGGAACTCAAAGAAACGCGGGGCCGCAACTATTTGAGTAGCAATCGTGAGCCGTTCATTCCACGAACGCTAGAGACTAGCGTTATCACGTGCGATTCAGTATACTTGAGCGCGCTCCAGGGGCCCGGGACGGAAATATTCAGGGCGGGGGCCAGAGGCGGCCTGCGACTAGCCGTCGCAAACAATACTAGATTCCCAGGAGCTCAAAACGGTAAAAAATACTTCTGAAGACGTCTTGGAGACAAGTGGTGTCAATTTCACCGACGGTTTGTATTTAAGCCTGCTCTCCGAAGCGATCGCCCTCATAGTTTACCGGTTAACCATATCTTTCCAGGGAGGTAAACCACTCCTGTACACTGTCCAATACCGACTTGGTCGTATAAATAGCCTGAAATGGTCTGGCACGACACTAAGATTGCCCCTGAGTTGGGCACGTTCGCCAATCCCATATTGATCGAAGGTAATCTTTCCCCTTTATACTCAGCTTCTGATCCAAACATGACCCGGGTTGACGACGGTCGATGTCAAGATGAGCCAGACCAACTTGGTTCCGATGCCGACACTGAGATAATGACTACACCAGAGTTTTGGGGATCCTTGACCAGTGGAAACTTCGCCCATCTGGGGGAGCATGAAGCAGCTATTGATCCGTTTTCTATTCATGTGTCCATCAGGTCGCCAGTCCATGAGGATCTCACAGGCCTTCCGTCATTCGAACAGTTTCAACCGGACCGCAAAGCATTTCAATTCACTGGGAATTCATTTGAAAACTCCTTTGGGGCAGCAAGGATTGAAAGCGCTATGAAGGGGTACGAAGGTACGATAAGCTAATATCCATTTGAGACTAGTATGCTGAGTCTTCCTAGGGAGCGAGCAAAGCACGAATCAAGGAAAAACTTCTGGGACCGAGGAACCCAAGAAGGACCGCAGTATGCCTGATAGTTTTTCGGTAACCCGCAACGCTGCCCCACAAGAAATATCAATTCAAGCGGATAATACCTTCAGGAAGGGCTTTTCAAGTGGCCCCTATGATATAGGACTTACAAACCCCAGATCATCGCTTGAAGCAGCGGATAACACCAACAAAGCCCGGTCCTTAGGCAAAACTGCCTTGACCTGGGGTTCTTCCGTATCTACTGCTATTGGCGATGAACTAGCGGCAATTCACGATCACATGGAGCACTGTCGGAACGCAGATTGTCTACAGGCTAAAGCATTTTTTGATGGGATTCAGCTCCCTCGTTAGTGACTCCTTGCTATTCGCGTTGATGCAACCTCTGAGACTTGATTTTACAGAAAGCTCGCTGCCAAGCTACACAAATAGATCCACACCGCTACAGGGACGAAGCGAAGAAGGCCGTGTGACCATGCGATTCCATGTCCCAGGATTCCAGAGGGGGCCGAAAAAGCCAATGGAATTTTTAGTCAACCAAGTCATCATCCGAACGGCTTTTTTTCCGCTAGAGATACCTTGCAGTCTAGAGACTTTCCGGCAAGACGACAATCTCTTTGGGCGAGGTGCTGTGGTCGCCTCTTTGGAAGGAAAAAGCCCAAGATTCTTTGTTACCTTCTCCCCTAGGGTTCACCAGAACGATCACGGTACTCAAGTCCGTGCATCACGCAAACAGTCAGAGGGGATTGTGATAATTGAATCAGCTGGACAACAACGAAAAAAGGGAGCCAATTGGTGGCACGGCTTCACCGGGAGAGTTTCTATTGAACTTTATAGGAGATGGCCCCCTTTAGCCTCGGATTACGAGGAACGGGAAGACTTCTTTGGCCCTGTTGTCCTGAGCGTTCACTCAGACAACGTAGACCCAAAATTCTTTCTCTCCTTCTCTTCCGAACTGTCTTCAGCTGATCACAATCCTCATTCGCATACGCCTAATAAAGGCGCAAGTGCACTATCAATAGCTGGTGACACTATTACTCAGGAAACAACGGAGCGAGCTGGTACTTCTGGGGATCACTTACCACTTAACTCCCATGTGGAATGTGTGAAACGCAAGTTTTTATCTGATGGGTTTCAATTTCAACCCAGACGATCGAAGAGACTGGTGATAAAAGCTCGAATCCAGCAATAACAGTTACTCGTCCTCAGCTCCCTGTTGTGGCTGTCTACCAAGTTTCTATTAGATCGTATCAATCTAGACCCATAATACTCTGCTAAAAAGAGAGACTAGCCATGAATGCTTCCTGGTGGGCGACTGAGGAAGCGGGAGTCACACGATTAGGTCTGGCTGTATAAGCCCTAAAATCAACGTTGATTAGCTTAATCTTCTAGTATCTAACTCTATGCAGTTCCAAATTTCTTAATTCCACAATAGGTGGGCTGGCATTTGGAAACTTCATCGGAGTTCCATGACCAGGTTCTCAGTGAGCTCGTTTCTCAAACCGGGCGTGACAATCTTCCTTTTTCAACCAGTTGACGATGAAATTGCGGCATCTTTGTGGTACAGGAAACTTGAATGTTCATGCTTCCAGGATTATTTCTGCGGTCTGCGGAGCGATAAGGGATTCTATCCAGGATTTGACTTACTTTGGAACTCGGCTGCTTTCTAGGTGAGTAAAAAAATTAAGAACACAGACTCATGTTTTCTGGTTGAAAATGGTGTCTGTGTTACGTCCCAAGAGGATAGATCGGTGCACTTAACGAGGGTATCAAGACTCGAGAACAGAAAGAGGAATACTAAGCTACTTGTCATAGTCTGCTCAATATGGAGTGAGTTTGGCTAGATTACTTTGTCTAGTATGTACTGGAAGGGGAAACAGATGCTTTAATATTTGGAATTTCGTTTCGATTTTCTCGTGTCCCCCAAGACAACCAGCCATATACAACTGTTTTTGCACCAAGCTCCCTACTACCATAATACAGTACTACCATGCTCACTTAAACGAAAGACAGTCGATATATACTGGGCCTCGATTTCTGCGATGATGCCAGGAAAATCCTCCCAACCTGGTGCGATCGTCGTTACTATGCAGCTATGGGACTGTGAAACGGTATTCCTGAATGAGAATACCCTGTGGGCTCAGTCAAATTTGAGATTGGAGGGAGGACAAGGTACCTACATATAAGAGAGAGTAGGCACGGGTTGACCTATTTATGGCGGGCTTTCACATGATTCTCCATCAGTTGTGAGATGCATACAAACCTTGGAAAACATACTTGTATGCGATGACAAGCTCTAGGTTCCCTATTCTTGGGTCTGTTCAAATCTCTTGGGCCACCCAGCATTGTTGCAGTGTCGGCCCCTCTAGAGAAATGAGGGACCCTCCCCGGAGTGCACAACGAGTCATTGCTATAACATGCGTAGGCCAACGTCGGGTTATTTCGTGTCAGCTATATTAACGACTTATTGCAGCTCTCCCTGCGGCAAAATGACAGCCATTCAACACAAAAATCGGAAGTCAAGTCCGCCAAATCCTCACGTGAACTCGGCGTCACTTCCACAACTTGCCTAATTGTTGTTGCTGATAAAATCGGGCGTAAGTGAGCCATTCCGAACGCGATGAAAATAAAGATGACTCTAGGCTGTAGTATATTCTTTAAGGCTTTATAATGGAACCGGGGACTTTTGGCTCTCTCGCGACTCTCAAAAGTCTTATCTAGAGGCTCGTTTCGGCCCGTCCGTTAATCTCGGAAAGCGTCAAGGATCTTGGCAAATGTCTTCTGATGAACTAGTGAATTCTGAAGACAATTAATGTTGCGTGCCTCGATCTCTAGGCTGACTCTCGTGCAATGTTCAAGCAACTTTCCACGCAGCAAATGATTGAGAAGTGGAACCTTGTCTTCGTCTAGTCGACCTTTAGAATCTAGTCAGTAACAACCGTTATACACTTTTTTAACAAGCGCCGAGGATTCATCAATTTTACATATCCTGACTACCATGTTGGCCTTAGGTTAGAGTATTTCAATTCTAGCTCAAACAATCGAATCCAACTGTATGCCAAATCTCCGCAGATATCGTAAAGGAAATCGCTAAGCCAATCATCGTAGGATTCGGCTCAAGAGGGTTGATTATGTTGAAACGAAGGACAGGTCATCTCGGATACACTGACTAACGTTTCCAAAGCAGCAAACTGGAAACCAAGGAGCCTTTCCTTTGAGCACTGGTACTTATAGAGCCCTTTATTTATATTGCTGTTACTCATTTCAATTGCTATGTAGGCGTGTGACGGAGTGCTTTAATTGACCATCCCTTACTAGTGCTTGTTGCTTCGCTAGCGGCAAGATTCGGTCTCCCATTATCCTTGGTCGACTCAAGGTGACTAACAACTTTTGCATGTGAAGTGGAATAAAAAAGGCCGTCTTTTCAAGAGATACCACGGTTAACATCGTCAGTGCGTCGATGCCGAGGGTATAGGTGTTCTCCCAAGTTTTCCCGCCGCTTAAATCCATTCCCAGAACTGCGATTGCAGTCCGTATAGGGACACATGATCGAAATTATCGCGTTGGTGTAATTTTTGTGCACTTCACGCCGGTATGGTAAGAGACCACCGGGATACCTGAAGCCTTATCCTCTGTTGCAGCCTGGCTCATAGCATCTGTAGGGACGGTCGTGCTTATCCATGTGTTTACTAGGGGAGAGAAGAGTTAGCGTCAGATTATAATACAGGAGGATAATGATATAGAGCTACTCATTTCCATTCACGAGGAGGCCTAAAAGTTGGCGGCATAGGCTAGTAGTCTTGATGGTCACAGTAAATTTGGTTGTCGGCGTTCCTGGGAACGGCCCGGGTACGCACATGCTAACGCCTGCCGTCCATATTATTGATAGTTAATTGCTTGTTAATTCGGAATTGTTGTGGAAACTACCCCATTGGAGCCAGAACATATTTATTCACAGCAGCTTCGCTTAAACTTCGAAATGAGGACTAGGATGGTCAGGTTGCAAACACACTTAACACAACTTACGACAGTATGACTGGCCAGACAGGCGAGACTTCAATGGTTAGGATGCTTAGATACTCAAGGAGACATGATTAGGACTAGTAGTGGTTGTAGACGACGTGAATGGGTTAAATATGTTCATGTTTTGCTGGCCTCATACACTGTTTGTTGAACATGAGCTTGATTAGTCTCCCAGTAGTCAATAGGCCCGTTCAAAAACGTGAGTTTTGCATTCATCTAAGATAATTCGCGTTTCTCCTACAACTGCATTTGATTGAAGGGATTTAAGCCCAAAGTCATGTTATTACAGCAATGTGAAGCATTTCCTCGTTCCTGATTTACTTTGATAACGGAGCTTCCTAAGGCACGAGTTCTTTGGCCGCACAAATCTTTACACGTAGAGAGACGAGATCACCGATAGACTGAGGCTCCCCACGAATCCACGTTCCACCACGCACAGTATCTCTGCTACTATTATGGTACACCACGGAGAACACAACATCAGGTCCGTTAAATATATTGTGATTGTACAGTATGCCACAAAGGCATTCGAAACGCCTCCCCCTATTCAACAAGGCAATGCATATTATTTTGGGCTAACAAGTGGTTATTACATCCCAAGTGTTGGAACACAGTAAGCCGCATGTGACTACATCCTATCACTGATAGAATGGACTGGATATATAAGGACACTCTTTTAGCATCATGTATTTAGTTCTTCGCGATCAATTACACATTGTTACTTGGTTACTACCCTGAGCACTTTGCACTTCTGATAGACCTACAGGTCTACAAGGCAAGGAAGCAATCTGTAGGCGAGACAACTGGGATTGGGAAGTCTAGAGAGAAGGAAGAAGAGAGAGAGGGAAAACCCATGAGCGGGAGAAAAACCCTCAAGGCACATGACTGCTGCTGGGCCTAGCAAACATCTGGGAGAGGGCAAACTCTCTCAACTTCACAGTTCAACTTTAAGACAACACGACCTACAGGTAGGGGAATTACTCGGTGGTAACACTGAGTGATTGACCTACTTGGCGCGCACCTCTGGCACGTCTTGCAAGACACTCGACAGGATCTAGTCCGTAGTAAGGCTTCGCGAAGCAACGGTACGATTGAGAGACCAGGTCTTGAGATGCGAAGTTAGGATAGCAGGCAAGTATCAGCCCGGGACGTTCTTACTCACAGTGACCAGTCGGCACCGCGTAACACATAGCTCCAATAGCCCAGCGCCTCCTCCGCCAAGGCGACAACACTTTCGTTGATAGGTTCAGGCGGTTTCAATCATTTCAAAGCCTTTGCACTTATCCAGCAACAATATAGCATCGTGACTAAGGTCCTCTAGGGTACCCAAGTCCAGAAGTATGGAGAACCAATTCTCGAATAAGTCAGGGCCTCTAAGGCCAGTTTTGCTGGAGGAACCAAGACAACCTCAGGAATCGGAGAGGGCTTTGATGGAGCTGGGTACGTCAATGATTTCAGGCAAACAGGGAACATGCTAGCTAAAATCGCTCACTCATAAACTGTTCATCTTATAATGCGAATAGAAAAACCGCTGATAACAGGCATGTGGACTCTGAAGCCGTAAGGATCATTGGGAGTCATGTATGACCACAATAACTGTAAACCTGAAGAAAACATATACGCAGCTCTCGAACGACGTGATATCCATACTCGTGATTTTGTTCGGATGAAATCTTGAACTTGGCGGTAGACAGTCCGTTCGTGAAGTGCTTTTACCCTCCTTGCCGCCTCTGGAAGCAGACTGAGGCGATGCTTCAAGCTGCGCTTCTGTGGGTGGGAACGGCAAAGCTGGATCTGCTATTGGATATTGTCCTTGAGCTGGAGGAATCGATCATCCATCTTTGTCAAAAAGGTGGTTATGGCCTTCTGAAGATGCGCCAGCATTCTTGCCCACTGACCTCCTCCAATAAGCCCCGCAAACTCGGCCGCAGCATCCAGCTTCTGGTAAAAGCCGGAACGGTCTTGCATAATCCTATGGACAGCGGCGTGACGAATATCGGAGACCACACGTCTCAACTTGTCATTTTTGACTTGCACCTGGTGGAATCCCACGGAAATAACAGTCTTCCTGTGATGGCCCAGAAAAGTCAAGAATTTATGTAACTCCATAGATTCGGGCCAGGTCAGCCCAAAAACCTTGCATTCGCTGGGCAGCCAAGTCTCAACAAAGTAAAAGCCACATGTTTCCAAAAGCCTTTGAACTGTTTGGAGCACTAGGTGTTCCACTTGAAGTAGTACATAAGTAGACGAGCTTGGAGTGAACTTCTGAAACATCTCTCGATCGGAGTCAAACCCGTTACTTTCACTATGGGTTTCCATGATACTTACTGGCACACGATTTCTTCAGTAGAGGGCGCCTCAACATTGATCCAGGGGCTCCTATAATCCAAGCAGTAAGGGAAAATGAAGGCATTCTAAATACAGTCGAATACTCTAAAAGCCACCAATGCGAGGATCGCACTTCTCAGCAGCCGAGGTCGCTGAAAGGTGGCCAGCGACTTTGTGCGGGAGAATCAATTAACTCCGTGTTAAATAAATGGCCCGATACTCAGGCTGTGAATCTGAGGCGTCCACACAATACGGCACATAACGATAATCTTTTACAAGAAAATAACGCTTCAATATAAGTACAAAGATGCCGCTTTACACCTCTAATCCCTCCTTAACCGTACTCTTGCACTCTCGTATTCTCACTACGGCATCACACATAATGATCCGAGGAGCGATTATCTGGATATTTTTGACATTTCTGATGGTCATAGTATACATTTCCATTGAGTAATGAGAGTTTCAATATGACTGAACATGCTCTAGTGTTCTGGGCTCGTTATCCGGCAGGCGCGTGAACCCAAAGGCCCCGTGGAGGTGTGTCGAAAAGTCAAGCATTAACACAGACTCTGCTTTTGCTAATTTAGATTTAGGGACATCTCCCCGATGATGTCGAAAGATAGGGTGACATTAGACCGATTCCGATGAAACTCCTTTTGAGTTAAACACGGACTGACATTGGAAGGCGTAGACCATATCCCCCGCTTCACAACTCATAGGCACATCCGGGCTCGCCACATCTAGCGTTACGGATTACGGGCGAATTGAATACGGCAGGGATGGAGTAACAGAACAGTGTCAGAGGATGTGTGAGAAGACCACCCATCCGTGTCTGGTCGTGACATAATGAAAGGTAAGTTATTGGCACAATATTCGCGATCACCTTGGGAATGCACAGTACACAATGTCGTAAAGAATTGCATTGACTGCGTTTTTCCATCATTGAATACTATAAGCACAATCGTTCGGCATTTGAAATCATTGTTGAATTCTTTGGACGAATGCATTTAATGCCTTCAAAGTCCTCATGGTATCTACAGGCTGAGAAAATTCCTCCTAGCTAACCCAGGCAGGAATGTTGAACTCCATCTCTGTTTTTTATTCGGGCTGGCTAGGCTACGAGATACACTATAGCCATCGATATGTACAATCTTTACGGCTTTTTAATTCACAATTTTTTAATGGGAATTGTTTTAGAGAGCTGGATTTACCTTGGCAAGATAGAATACCATGAATAGCAGGGCGAGGACGGTCGTGCTGTGGCAGAAAAAGTAAACCAATGTGAAGCACTTTTTGCAAAAGCCTTTCAACTGTCTCTTACCAAATCTTTCTTGGTAGAGACTGGCAGGCCCGGTTATGAATGATACGTATAGATCCGACAATTTGGCCCCTCCATTATCAGCCAATTTTTAATCGAATACAGGAGCCAGAAGTCGTTGTGGCATCGCAGCAGATTATTGCGGCGCTTACGAAGCTGCTCTTGCTTCGCACGACTATTGTTGGATGCCATCGCCGTCTGGCCTATTTCAATGGACGGCCGAACAGAGACTTTATGGCACATTCAGTTGTTTTGAAACGCAGAGATGGCTGCTATATAGAACATCGGCTTAATGCTGTCATACTTCAAATCAGGTGGATGAGCAAGTTCAGCACTTGATGACCAGGTTCCTATTGATATCAAGTCGGTCAATGGTGCGTCTGTAGGCGAAAGAGGTAACTGTGTGTGGCCTGTATGGCTCATCTCCGGTTATGCTCAGTTTTTTTCACACCATACTAGGTGTAGTCCTCACCGATAGTTTCAGATTCGCTATTGCATAGAATGTTTTGCAAGCCAGCCCGCAATATTCTGTTCAAATCGTTACGCCTCGAAAGTATGCGTCGATTCCTTTAGCCTTGAGGGTGCTAGAACTTTAAGGGTTATATTTCCTTGCGGGAGCATTGCTGTGAGAATTTGTTGTTGCTCATTGATGTCTTGATTAATAACCTCTTTCCCTAGGATTAATTCTTATTCAGCCGCACTTACCAGCTGGCTTCACCTCCATGATATTTGCCTCTATTTACGGTGGACCTTTTCGCATGCTTATTGAGGGTGTCCCCCTTTGTCGTCTCCTGCGGACTCGAGTTTTCTCTACTCATTCCTTGCTTTAACATGATTCAAGACTTTCGGACTTTCTCCGATAACGGGCGAGTTATGTGCTTGCTTCCGCTATGAAGGAGTCGATCCCGTCAGTAGGAAGTAAAAGCGACTGTCTCCCTATTACGATAGCAGGAGTTCTATCCGAAATAGAGCTGATAGCTCTATCCCATCAGGCAAAGTCACGGTGTGTCGTAGCCTTCACAGGTCAGAATAGACCATCTACTGACATTCCCAATGGTGCCCGAGGCAACTCGTCCCTCATCCATCTAGTTATATCAATATTAGTGGGGGCAAGGAAACCAAAAAGGAGGTGCAAACACCAGGTTATACGGCATTAAGTAGACAATCATCAGCACCACCCTTTACGGCAAAAAATACGACCTCCCTCGTAGCGCTTGATCTACCGATCGGCAGATCCACCGATGTGGCAACAAAGTCGTCCCCTGGGTCCTTTCCCTCGGAAGGGCCAGCAGCCACAAAAACATTTATCAGCCGGTTTTCATTCCCCACTATTCTCACCAATCACAAAGGCGCTAAGGACAACGATCAAGTCCCGGCCGTTCGAACTGACATGACGTGGAGCCGCCCATATCGGCTCTAGACCAGGGAGTCAGAAATGCTGATTCAGATAAATATATCACGGAGCTTTCTTCCACAGCATACCCGGCAGTTCCAGCTTCGGACTCTGCAAATCTCTCTTCAAAAATGGCGGTAGATACGACGTTGCTATCTTCAGTACTCGGGATCACACCGCTTGGGGAGATTTCTCGATCACCACCGCATGGAGAGCTTTTACCCACATCGAGGGGAGAATCACATGTCAATGTATTTACAGGAGTCTCTTTTATCGACCATTTGGACAGGTTCAGTACCATGATGAATCCCGTGAATTCAAGTAGTCAAATTATGAAAGAGATATCTGGTACAGAAACGTTTGATTTGGTCAGTCTCCAGTGACACAGCCGCACCCAGCCTATCATTGCCACAGTCGACTAAAAATGACCTCGCCGACTGCCCCAGCTCTATAACCGATCTTTCCAACTCATCGTTAAAATACTCGACCATGGATAATACGCAAACGTTGATAGAGATCTTGAGGCAAAGCTCCGCGGCGATCCTGGGGAGTGTGTCTGGTGCTGGTCTGGATTTCACCATTATCTTGGTTTTCCATCGGTTTTTCTACCAGTCATTCAATGAGCCACTAAAAAAGATGCTCCTCGCTTAACCCGAACGAGAGTCAGGGTTTGTAGACGAATGATCCAACCCTCAGCTTTCCAGCGGATTAGAAATTTCCCAGTTTTCAGTCGACAGTTGAAGGGATATCCGTGCTAAAGACAAGTACATTTAGCTAGTGAACGAAGCGAAAAACTCCACCGTACATTTCCCTGTAGAGTAATAGATGATGTCGGAATAGTTCTCAAAATCTGCGCGGTAAATGGCCACAAAACCGAACTCAACGGTCTGCCAAAACACAATTCTAAATGCAGAAATGGAGGTGGGGCATAACGGTTCAAGGACCTTTCACTAGTTTGCTCGAGGCTCCACTGCTCTCCAGCTAATTGTCATCTCTGTTAACCACCCCTTGTTAACCACCCTTCCACCCTTGATCATCATTAATTCATTTGTCCTCATTACTCTCAACAACAGTGACTGCGACTCAATGTAGTACGGCAACAAACTACTCATTTTCGTAAATCACGCCGTTGCATAACTAGAAAAACCACTGTTTAAAAGCCACTTGCTCGGGCAGGTGTACAGGCGGGTTCGAAAACAGATTCACCGCTTTCCACTCATTCATTCTTTCTGGAATCTGGAACCCTCTCTTAAAACACGCTTATACCTATTACAGTGGCTCTACTACTGACTCCACTTCTTGGCAGTACTTGGCAGTATTCGAATACAGTTCATAAAACCTATGATAAAAATAGCTTTCGTATCGGGCGCGTATCATATGTTGGGCATCTCGGCCATATTCATACATAGATTGGAAACCCCGCCCATCCCTCTTGCTCCTTTTCTGTCACTTCTTTGCCATCACTTGCTTTAGCACTTCCTCTCCTTGCCATTAATGCAAATTTTGCTACAGTGTAATCTGAAACGCTGTATATTTGGTCTTGAGCTGAAAGACCATGGCTGACGAGGATTTGCCTAAATCTCCCCAGTTGTGGATGGATTACATATCCTTAAATCCAACTTACCAAGCATTAGTGGACCTCAAGAAAAAGGTAAGTAATTTGCTTATTTGCCAGGATTACAGGCTGACAGTCAGGCTCAGGGCTGGTCAAATGAAGCTGGTGATGCGTTCTTTCAGAACCGAAGAAGAACTGCGAGTAACCCGAATCAAAAAACAAAAAAAAAACTCTACGAGATGACGAAGACGATAGGAAAGGGGCTGGCGTTGGAGACAAGCATATTTAGACTGGAATCTGCTTGCTCAAAGGTCCTTGACCTCTGCATGGCACCTGGTGGCTTTACTGCGACGGCCAAAGCAAGACTGCCAGGATCACTTATCCATGCTTTTACGCTTCCACCCGAAGTCGGTGGCTATGACGTGATGGCCAGAGGAGCCTGTCAGAATATCATATATGGCGACATCACTATGTACCCAAAGGAAATGGGTTATGAGGAGGAGATTCCGACAGGGCACACCGATTTTAAAAATTTTGAAATTAGCCGACCGTTTCCTGGAAATCTTTACGACCTAATCATCTGCGGGGGAGCAGTGGCTAGAGATCAACCAAGAGACGTGTACCGGAACGACTGCGAGTCACGGCGGTTAACGGTGTCGCAATTAGTGTTCGCTATGAATCGCCTCAAGCTCGGGGGCTCACTCATCTTGCTCCTTCAACGCATCGAATCCTGGGACACAGTGTGCATACTTCATGCTTTCAATGAGTTCTCCACTATTCAACTTTATAAACATCCCAAGGCCCATGCAATTAAATCATCATTCTATCTGGTCGCAAAGAACGTCAACTTGGACCACGATGCTGCAAAAGAGTCTATCGCATATTGGAAAGCGCTCTGGAAGTACCTGACTTTCAAAGAATCCAGGCCCATAGCATTGCCGGAGTCGAAACTCTATCGATCCGATGATGCTTCGGTTCGAATATTGCGAGAGAAATTTGGTCCTAAATTTCTCAATATAGCGCAGCCTATCTGGGAAATCCAGGCAGAAGCACTTCGCAAAGCACCATTTATATAACACACCTGAAGGTTCGATATGTTGAAGCTACCGAATCACACATTTTTCGTGTTCAGAGGCAGCTCAACATTTGTGATTGGTTGGGGGCACCTTGAGGCTTGAATTGAATCACAGCAATATTGACATTCCGGATAATTAATCGGAATTGTGTGACAGAAAATCTGCAGTACGTCGCGGCACCCTGGTGTCATTTCGACAAGATCCATATTAGCTTGTTTGTTCCGGATAGATTTCGGGAGGATACATGAGTGTGAAGTGGTGAGCGGCGTCAGCCGACGTAAATTGGGGTAGTTCGGACGTTTCCGGAACAGTGAAGATTGTTGCTCGTCTTGATAATTGAGCATACTGCACAATATGTTGAACAGTATCACTGTAGGCTATTAATTGAATTAGTGATTTGCGTAACATCGTTCGTAAATCATTCAAGCTTTTGAGAAAGGCGCTTTTGGCGCCATGTCAGTAGGTGAATGCCCTGAAACCAACGAACGAAGTGAAAGGGGTTACAAACCGTGGGTATGCACGAGGCTGACTTGAAGAATGACTTGAGGTTGCGAGAAACACATCCGAATTTCACGCCAAGTCTCGCACTCATTGACGCGAGTACTCGGCCATTCACGCAATGCGCTTCCGTAACGTATTTGCTCTTCCGTTTCCTTGACCTTTTCAGGGCATACCGCTTGCGAGAGTGCGCGTCACCAGTCATTTCGGGGGGAAAGTCTAGGGGATACTGGGTATTGGGTGAAGTTAGTAGGCGCCGAGAGTGAAGAAGCCCCGGCGAGTACTGCGATATTGGCAGAAGCATGCTCACCAAGGGCCGATGGAAGGAGGCGGAGCAGTTCGACGTGCAGGCCATGGACATGGCCAATGAAGTTCAGCGTGGACCATCCTGACACACTGATGAGTATAGCCGATCTCGCCATTATGGAAAGTCTTCAGTTGAGCCCTGGATTTACTACAAGGTTGCTTCGCCAAGCGAAAGCGAATACTTTGCCTAGATCATCACCACACTATGACTAATTTTGAAACTTTGCTGCAGTGGGAAACAGATTTTGAAGATCCATACGTACAGTAGATGGGCAAGATATCGGCAAGTCATATCATTGCTTCGGATCATACTTTCATAGTGTGATATGTCAGGATAGTCTTCAAATTCAAAGACTTTGTGTGGATTGCGTGAAAAAGCTAGCTTTAACGCCGAGTGAGAGCAACTGCCAACGTATTAATGGTCAGGGTATTTCCAATTTTGTTTTCAGCTTCTTTTCACGTGACTGTGGCTTTCAATACGATACCGTCCGTTGAATTCCAACTAAGCTAAGGATAGCCTAGCATGTTTCGGAATGGGGCTCAAGAAAGAATCCATGAACGTAAGGTGGTGAAACTGATTTCGAACCATCCTGTAAGCATCAGACTGTCTTCGAAAGCTAATAATTCATTAGTTCTACACTCTGTTAATCTCAACATAGAAAACAGAGAGTCCGTCCAGGGTAAGAATGAAGTCTCAACTGCCGGAATTTGCCTCGATGAGTTACCTCGGTGGAAAGAAAGAGACCTTGCTCCCTACAATCAGTCAACATTGACGACGGGGATAATTCCTAAGATGGGAGATGTCCAAATTGACCGGAATTTAGCCGTTTCGCCAGACAGCGGACTGTTCCTTGCATGGGGTTCCTCTTCCGGCCAAGATACGACAACGGCGATTTCAAGGGAACCCGGGAAACTGGAACCGGTTAAAGTCCGGGATTGTCCGTGGGACGATAGATCGAAGACAACGGATAGGCCCCTTCTTGCTTCGTGCCCTTTCCTTTTGGGTGTGAAGTCAGCTCAACCTTTCATTCCATATCCAACGCCCCTAGCAAAATTGGCAGAAGATCGAGCGACGGCGCATAGTAGGCATGGTTTTAGTGGAAACGCCAAAATAAAGTCTATCATGTCAACCTTAACTAAGAAACGGAGAAACGGTCACCACGTAACGAAGCTAGGGCTGCTGATGTACCGCGGCTCACAGAAGATAGCAAGACAACTGGTTAAAATATCGCTTCAACATCGTCTTCACGAGAATTCGGTGATTCCGAGCCAAATATACGACTCTTCACTGTACGCTATGGCAAAGAATCACCCACAATACAAACACCTGGTTCATGCCTTTCCTTTCGTGGTTGGGTTACTCCCCGAAAGTGTACAGGATGGCCTAGCGTCAAAAGAAGGGCTGGCTGTGTTGCAAATTGGGGCCTCTGTGGCGAAGAAATGGGTATCTTCATCCACATAATATCTGTGAGGTTGAACTGAGAGTTGAGACGCGGCTAATAAGGGTAGCAGACCATGATTCTTTAAGCCAAGTATGATACAGATGGACACGGCCCGATTGGGGCGTAGTAGATTATCTAGAGATAATTGCCTTAGGAGCGTAAACTTAGCTTATCTTAGCAGTATTCTCGTTTTTGCTATTACTCTAAACAAAAAATTAACTGACTTCAATGTAAATTATACTTTCAAGATTCACGAAAAGCCCAGACCAACAATCTTCACCGTGACTAGGGTCACACCCGTTTGTTTCTACATGGGCTCTTGGTGGGAATAGCCGCATAGATCACCGTTTACAAGATAAACCAGATACACCATGATCAATATTACTAATTTTAGCTGGCTATTTTGGTACACAGTAGATAAAATTAATTCAACCACAGCTTCGATACAAGTCTTTCCTCCTTCCTGATTCCATACCTTTTCTGGGTATGCACACGTCTAGGACGATAGATAAACAAGAATCTCCAATCCCTGTGGGACTAGAATCGGACTTTTTGTTTCCCTAAATTCTAGACAAATCGAATACAGAATCAAGCCCTGATAACAACGCCACCAACTCTGTCCTTCCACAGTCCTTGATTCTACAGTACCATCATAGCCAATTTGAAGGTGAGAATGGCTTCGACAACTGGATGATCTTTTCCCCGGACCAAGGCATTCGAAAGGTGACGATGAAGCTCTTAGGAGATAGCGGAGGTCTATTCAAGTCGCTTCGCCTAGAAACTTGGGTTAAATATGTGATGGGCCTGTCATCGGTGACCTTCACCGTATTCAAATCCTATCATGACAAACCTGCTTTTTCGCTTTTTACTTTTTTGTGTCATTTCCCCCGGAGACCAATAGTTACCACCTCTCATCGCAAGTACGCGAGATCGTATAGCCGATGAAACTGTCGGACCCAGACGAATGGTATCTTAGATAGCTCAACAGACGGACCGGTTCTTGCATAATAGCATTAGCTACGCTTTGGAAAGCTTCGAGGACGGGGGAAAACATGAGAATCTGTATCTTAATACCTCGAGTACTACTCATTTATTAAAGACGCTCCTTTTGCGGCCGGACAAGGATGTGCTCCTCTAACTGAGGGCCCTTGAATCCTGCTACGCTCGTTACTGAGTTTCGGATCTCGCGCAGGGGCGCGAGTTTTCTATTGAGACAAGTTTCTTCTCCTCGCTCAATAGCCACTCAGCACCAGGAGTCGCCACCTAGTTAACTGGGGCCGCCCTGAACGACTTTCCCTCCTTGTGTATCACTAGTGTGTTGACGTATGATAACAAAATTCAATTTCTCGGCACTCGGTAGGATCAACTCTGTTATAACGCGCAGGACATTTCCACAATCGAATACTTTAGCGAAAGGCTATCAGAGTTATCAAAGGTGGGTACTACGGTGGATACAAGCACTATATATAAGCTGACCTGCTTTTCAGAACCTGCTGCATCGGCAGAACTTCTATTCGCTTTTAGCGATCTGGCTGGTCGCTACCTCGAACCGGTTTTTATAGAGTCCATCGACTCTTCTGGCAACTATCAAGTTTACCGGCTGAAACTATATAAAGTACTATTACTCGCATTTTTGTATCCTTTTGTCGTTGATCTGAAATGGGGCAATCGCTAAGCACTGCCAGGGATCTTTATTTTTATTCCTTATGACCGAGCTTTATGGCGGGGTACAGACGCGATCACTGAAAGGTAATAGTCGCTTTGTTTCAGGCATTGACCAAATCAAATACGGACAAGGCCTTATTTGGACCGCTTGCTAGCTTCGCCTGGAGGCCAAAATTTGTCTGAAAAGTCTGAATGTAAGCGGAGAGAATACCCAATGAATTATTCATAGTGCGACTTTGTCGTCCTTTACCAATGAGTTTCTTTCAGACCGTATTGCTATCCCATGCCTATAGAGGCACACAAAGTACAGGACGGATACTTAGCGTTCCAGGAATATTGAAGAACAAAGCGCATATTCGCAACTTCCCGTCCATGAGCACGTGCGAGCTACTCGGTCCATTCAAGGCTCCTCCCTAGTAATTCCTAGATAGTAATTAGCTTGGTCCGTTTCGTTCGGAAGTTTGCCGCCGGTGATTTTAAAAGAACAGTAATTCGCAATCTGACAACCTTTATGGAGTTTTTTGGCCAGACCGACAAGATTACCGCATTCCATGGAGATATAAGCAGAGTTCTGTTCTATCCACGTTATGTTCACCGCTCTGTCAGAGCCTCGTTTACTGCCACCTACATAATTGCAGAAGAAAAGTCCTGACTGATTTTGGTAGGCCACTCGGGCGTAGTCTCTAGCTTGCGCAACATATTGTTGGCCTTCAATATCCAAAAAGTGCTGGATATTATTGAGTGTCGGATCTATATATGCGATCCCCCGTGAGTAGTAGCAACTGGGTTGTTCCTGAATAAAAGTAGTTAGTTAACGGGGCTTGTATATGTCTTTATCAGAAAAGGGTTGAACCAGACATCGACGTAGACACCGCCAAGAAGTGCCGGGGCAGGAAAATGTGGCGGGGTCAAGGCCTGTTCATGTCAGTGTTGAATCTGTATTGAAATTCGGTTGGATGGTACTGCACTGGTCTAGTATTCAAGCTTCGATAGAAAACTTTGCCCACAGAGGGCGGTGGCCCAGCGAACTAGAAAGATTAGCTCCGCTGCATTCGCTCGGTTGAACGACTAACTGCTAGACCAGCGCATAAAGAGGCTGCGAGTAAACTTTGTAGAAAATTCAATTCCTCATCAAAGTAGCGGTTGAATATCTGGGCCTGCCGTGACGTGGTTGTAATAAAGGTAACATGTGCTATATATATATCGTGGATCGGGTTGAGCGCGAGTAGCGCTGCGCGGGTCTCAGGCCCTCATAATTAAGCCTGGCACTAAATGTATTCTCCAAGAAATACCCACATCAATTTTTGAGCATTTAGCTAAGATTCCTAAATGAAGCCTAAATGTGCGATGTGACTTTTCGAACTGGGAGAAGTCCAAAAAAACTGGCCAAAAGCCCCTTCGTTTTCTCATCTCGGGGGAATTTTAATTGCTTGACCCTGCTTTCGCATCAATATACCTCAATAATTCATGATTTTAGGACTCTCCTCTTGCCTGCTATTAAAAAAAAGCGCTAATATAAAACTTAGCGAGAACCAGCGAGAACCTTTACTATCCAGAAGCCGGTCTCTGGCGACATAAATCAGCAGCCTGTTTAGCAGATTGTCTTCATGATCTTGAATATTATTCTCGCGGCTCTAGCCACGACTACGCTCGGACAGCTTGAAACCAAGCAGTTTTCTAAAAGTATATGTGACTAGCTCCGCAGCTAGCAAGGCCATCGATTCGGAGACTTCGATTCAATTTAAATCGATGGACGTGACCATTCACTTCTTCTGTCCGAGGATTGTGACTCCCAGCTGGAGTTTGCTCTTGGGCATTGTGCGTTACTGCCGTCCATATATTCTGTCATCTATTCATTGTGTTTAAGCCTCAGTAGATCTTTAGTAGTCTACCCTGCGATAGAAATTTCGCTCACCAATGATCCATCAACTCGAACGACAAACAGCCAATTTGGGAGGCGAGAATTTCAGCAAAGTGCGTCAGCCACTGACTGCCCATGTGCCTCAGTTACGACCGTGCCGGAGGCGAGAACCTCTTCGGCTCCAACCTCATCCACGTCGGATGACTCCTCGTCAGCCAGCTCCTCGTCAACACAGGCCGGCTCCCCTTCGGCGACAGCAACCATGACAGCAAGCCCTTCTGGCCTAGTTTCCGGGTCTTCCGACACGCCTGAAGCTCTTACAACCGGTGTAACTTGTCTTATAAATTAGAGTCTCCTTCACCCGAAAGCTTTTGACCTACTGGCATAAGATTCCAGGCACGTAGACTATGTGGCTGGCGATAGATGTCGCTGCTCGGATGGAACCACCCCTGAATTTGCTAGTGAAAATTGCATTCAGTGTCTTTGAATACACACATATATTTATGAAAACAATCGTCAAGCGTATTCATGAGAATGGCTGGAGAGCGCTAATGTCGAAATTTGAACCTCACAGTTACTGGTCTTCTCTGTCCCTAAAATGAAAGACAATCCCACACTCTTAATATTCATCAGTCTTGGCCGCAGCAGAGAAGTGAAATTATAATGATCACCAAGATCAATGATTCCAGTATAAAAACCCCATAACTCCAAGATTGTTCCAGCCTTATTAAGCGGCCGACGTCTGCTTGATCCTGTGATATGTCGCTTTTCCTACCTGATGCCTCTTTCCGTCGTGTAGTCTGATTTAACAGTTGATTCTTACCACTTTTTTGTTTTTTATGACTTTGTTGGGGCAAGCAACCTGGTTTGCGATAATCAAATTTCGAGATGCGTTGTCGCCCATTCCTGCACCGAGGCTCCACTCTTGACCAATACTCTTGGCAAAATGCCCCCTGTTGCAGATATGATTGTCGACTGGAGAGAACTGGAGATCCAGATAAGACGATTCCGACTTGGAAGAAGTCTTCAGTGGCTGGTATTGCTGTAGGTGTGTGAGCAATGGGATACCAGTTAATCTAATTGAATTTTAGTATCATTGTTATGGTGCCGTGAGAATGTCCGCACCTGATGAACTTGGTATGTCTTCGCTCCTTTCTGAATAGTAGACTCTAACTTGGCAATCACCGAGTCGAAAACCGCCTGCTTCTCCTTCATGACGCCACTACCGGCAGGAACGTGGTGGGCTGCTAGATTGCGTATTTGTTTGATTTGGTAGAGACAAGACTTTAGCTGTGAAAGCTCGTGTTCCGGTACCAGTTGTCTCAATCGCCCGTGGGAATCTTCGCACAGCGTATTGATTTTCTTGACGAACTGCAGAAGATCCAGTGTCTGATTACACTCGCAGCTTCGATTCTTCGGGCCCTCGAAAATGGCACACAGGACAAAGCAGAGAAACTCAAGTTCATCTTGCCATTTACATAGCTGTAGATGATTATGAAGTATCTGCGATATGCCGGGCGACATTCTTTCTGTAAATGCTAGTAACTGGACCTTGAACTTGTCCGTCCTGCTACGGAAAATATTCTTCGGATTTACCACCTTTCATCATGATGTCAAGAAAACGTTATTTGATCCTGTGTTACGTGATAGTCCTGTGTCATGTGACCGAAGACAAGGTTCCCGTGTCCTATTCCTATAAAGGTAAAGGCTTCATAGCCGTAAACGCCACGACTTTATAAAGCGGAAGGCGGATATGAGATAGCGCGCTCTGAGATAGTCGCTATCAAAGCTCGGCGGATTATTAGAGCTCCGGAGATGCAGGATTCAATCCGGCCAAGATGATCTTCGCCCTATTCAACCACTCTCTGGCCTGCTCTGGCTCTGCCGTTTCCAACCCTAGCTCAGTCCCGTCCAATTCCCCCAACGTATAGTTAACGCGCTGGACGAAGGACTGGTTTGTTCGAAAGCTCGCGGGGAGTCTGGAAAGGGGGTTTTGGATATAGTGATAGTAGCAGTCGCTCGCACTCAAACCTTTTCCATCGTCTCACGGATTCGATATGTGAAAGTAATTCTCTTCCAGGCTACGGAAGAATTCATTCAAAACGGTCCTGTCGTTCGGTAGTCCCAGCGCGTGTGTATTGCCATCCATGACTACGTCTTTCATGAAAACGGTTGGCTGTTGCACGTGTGCAAAAGTTAGCTCCCTTTCTTGCCGAAAATGCTATGCAGGCAGAAGCGAGGGGTGATGGGGTTCTGGTGGCATGGTAGGTTCGGGGGTGGTTGCCAAAGGAATCTGGACTGGGCCCACGTCGACCCCTTCTATGAGTTCGGCCGCGGGTAAGCCACCACTTTCCCGCCGACCGAGAGTTTTTCCATCGCCAGTCGCTATGAGGTATCGGAAGAAGGCAAAGAAAATAGATGGAGAAACCCTGCCGTGAATTTTGGCGTCGACCAAGGACGCTGCAATGATTCTGCTGAAAGCACGAATCGATTTTCCTCCACCGAATTATCAAAAGGATTTCCACTTTGTGCCTCACTGGAATCTCCTTACCGTCCTCACACAATGTGGGCGTCGGTAGATCACTTGACGGTGGATGAGATCCTCGACCAGGAGGAGTTCGAAATCCCTTTTGAGCGGCAAGCCAGAAGGAATACTGCCAAAGAAGCGATTGGCCCGTGTCACGATTCCATCAGAACTCTCTCGCGGTTATATCTCCACCTTTACTTCTCTGAAATCTTTGTCGCTATTCAATTGCCCGAACCAGCTTCGCCTTTTGCGTTTGCTGTCAAGGGCATCCAGATCCATGCATCTGGAGAGTTTTCAGGCATGCTTCGACTTCCTGTTACAGTCGGAGTCGAAAACAGATTCCCCTTCCTGCAAATGCGACTTGTTTCTCGGACCCTACTTTGAAGTTCCCTAATCCATAGTAGGCTTAGCGGTAGATCCCCTGGTTCTAACAATAGAGAGCGTTTTTTACAGAACGAGGGGACCACGTAAAATACAGTATTCGACAGTTTACAGTACACCTTTACTGGCGACCGTGCTGCCCCTCCTTCGAAGTTGTGGACTTCCCAGGTCCCATGCTTCTCTTCTCACCATTGTTGGGCATCGCGAAAAGGCGCCTCACGATATGGCACCCAGACTTCCGATTTCAAAGCTACACTTCATTCGTGATATGATACAGAGCCGGTCACTAACCACGTCCCAAATGGCTGATGCAGCAGAATGCAGCGACCGTACAATCAAGAATGTTCGCAGGAACTTGCGACTCTTTGGAAGCGTACACGCCCCTTCAAATCGAATTGGCCGGAGACGAAGCATAACACCGCCGATGCTTGAATCACTTTGCGACCATCTACTCGAAAAGCCCGGTCTTTATCTCGATGAGATGGTCGTCTTCCTATGGGATGAGTTTCATACCCTGGCAACCACTTCTAGCATCCGGAGGGCCCTCACTTCCAAAGGTTGGTCCAAAAAGACCGCTCGACAGAGGGCTAAGGAACAAAGTGCCGATCTGCGAGAGTTATATCTTCACAATTTGTCGGACTTTCAGTCATATCACCTTGTGTACGTTGATGAATCTGGATGTGATAAACGAATCGGGTTCAGACGGACAGGCTGGTCACCACTTGGCGTGGCCCCTGTACAAGTTTCACAGTTTCACCGCGATGAGCGGTATCAGATATTACCTGCATATGCCCAAGATGGAATCGTTCTTTCTCGTGTCTTTCGCGGCGCTACGGATGCCACTTTGTTCGAGGACTTCGTCGATGAGCTTCTTCGTCATTGTGGAAGATGGCCAGAGCCGAAATCTGTACTGGTCATGGATAATGCGTCGTTCCACCACTCTGAGCGGATCGGGGAGCTGTGTGCAGCCGCGGGAGTAAAACTGGTTTATCTGCCACCCTACTCGCCTGACCTGAACCCTATTGAAGAGTTCTTCGCCGAACTCAAGGGCTTTATCAGACGCAACTGGAGCTACTTCGAAGAAGATCCCGATCGAGGGTTTGACTCATTTCTCGAATGGTGTATTGATAAGGTTGGTGCAAAAGAAGCAAGCGCTAGAGGCCATTTTCGCCACGCGGGGGTAACGGTAGAAGAATGGCTGTAAATTTTCAAGTCATTCTTAGGGTCAAAAATGAACTTCTCTAGTTTAGCTATTTGGTCAATTTAGGGGATTTCCACCTGAACAACTGAGAATAGAGCGGCCCTTGGCCTGGGCAGATTTGCTGTCGATGAACCTTCAAGCGGTACGACGGAAAACACTGAGGGATAAATTCTATGGAGCTTCGTTGAAATTGGTTACACATTCCATAGCACTCGAGGGCGACATAAATTCTGATTTTGGTCTCAAACCCTTCTCTTGTGGAGAGACTAGAAGATAAAAGAAGGGAAAAGTGCAAATCATTGTCGCCTACTATACACAAAGTCGCATGAAAGAAACCCGCCCTGATACGTGTCCCAAGGCAACTAAATTCTCGTTTATGGCGGAACAATAAGGCCGAAAGTCAGGCGGAAGCCATAGGACATTCTTGCCATTCAGGCTTATCCATTGTCCTTGCTCAATGGAGATCGATAGATCCCTATAGGCTGAAGGAGAAACATGATTCTGGTACCGACAATGGAAATGGAGAGTGCCCAGGTCGGTAATTAAATGTGACCCATCTTGAGAGAAGCGGAGTCTAGTGACAATTTCCTTAGTGCTCAAAGTCTCTTGTACATCGCACGTTACCGTATCCCACAGTCGCACGGTCTTATCGCCGGAGCCAGACGCTAGCAGCCGGCCGTCGCCTGAGAAGGCCACCGAGTTAACCGGGCCCGAATGGCCCTCGAGGGTCTGCTGCAGCGCACCTGTCGCAGTATCCCAGAGCCGAATAGTTTCATCGCTGGAGCCGGATGCTAGCAGCCGGCCATCGTGTGAGAAGGCCACCGAGTAAACCCGGCCTGAATGACCCTCGAGGGTCTGCTGCAGCGCGCCTGTCACAGTATCCCAGAGCCGAATAGTTTCATCGCTGGAGCCGGACGCTAGCAGCCGGCCGTCGCGCGAGAAGGCCACCGAACAAACCCGGCCTGAATGGCCCTCGAGCGTCTGCTGTGGCGCGCCCGTCGCAGCGTCCCAGAGTCGTACAGTCTTATCATCGGATCCTGACGCTAATCGCCGGTTATCATGTGAGAATGTCATCGAGTTAACCGAGTCTGAATGGCCCTCAAGCGTCTGCTGCAGCACACCCGTCGCAGCGTCCCAGAGCCGCACAGTCTTATCATCGGAGCCGGACGCTAGCAGCCGGCCGTCGTATGAGGAGTCGATCGAGTTTATCGGGCCCGAGTGGCCCTCGAGGGTCTGCTGCGGCGCGCCCATTGCCGTATCCCAGAGCCGCACAGTTTCATCATCGGAGCAGGACGCTAGCAGCCCGCCGTCGCCTGAGAAGGCCACTGAATGAACCCAGCTCGAATGGCCTTCGAGAATCTGCTGCAGCGCACCCGTCGCTGCGTCCCAAAGTCGCACAGTGTGATCATTAGACCCGGACGCTAGCAGCTGGTCATCGTGTGAGAAGGCCACTGAACAAACCCGGTCCCTGTGGCCCTCGAGCGTCTGCTGAAGCGCACCCATCGTGGAGTCCCAGAGCCGGATAGTGTGATCATTAGACCCGGACGCTACCAGCTTGCCGTCGCGTGAAAAGGCCACCGAGTTAACCCGGCCTGAATGACCCTCAAGCGTCTGCCGCAATGCACCCGTCGCAGCGTCCCAGAGCCGCACACTATAATCACCGGAGCCGGATACTACGAGCCGGCCGTCACCTGAGAAAGCCACTGAATGAACCCAGCCAGAATGGCCCTCAAGCGTCTGTTGCAGCGTGCCCGTCGCGGCGTCCCAGAGCCGCGCAGTCTTATCATCGGAGCCGGACGCTAGCAGCTGGCCGTCCGGTGAGAAGGCCACGGAGTTAACCCGGCTCGAATGGCCCTCGAGAGTCTGCTGAAGCGTGCCCGTAGCGGCGTCCCAAAGCCGCACAGTTTTATCGCTGGAGCCAGAAGCTAGTAGCCGGCCGGAGCCTGAGAAGGCCACTGAATGAACCCAGCTCGAATGGCCCTCGAGAGTCTGCTGAAGCGTGCCCGTAGCGGCGTCCCAAAGCCGCACAGTTTTATCGCTGGAGCCAGAAGCTAGTAGCCGGCCGTCGCATGAGAAGGCCACCGACCAAACCCAGCCCGAATGACCTTCGAGCGTCTGTAATTCTGCACTCCATTTTTCGTCTACCTGCGGGAACTGGTGTATCCAACTTGGGATTTCTCGCTTAAACACTTTGCGGGTTATTGTCGTTCGAGGTGCAAATACCAGTCCCGCGCAGTAAATCTGAAGCGGTGCTTCATCCGCTATCTGGAGATTTTTCAGAATGAAGCGCTTTGCATCATGTAGGAAATCAGACATTGCGGAATTTTCGTCGCCCTATACTTATTAGTCACGGTCAAAATGGCAGCCTCTTGAGTTGCTTACTGATACATGTGTTCGAAGGAGATCCAGCATATTCACCACCTCCGATAGGAGACTCAGCAGACTCATCGCTTCCACCCAATGCAGTAGATGTTTCTGGAGGAATAGTCGCACTTTCTCTGTCTCAAAAGTTAAAGCTTGGCATTGTTCGAGATGGTATATCCAGTAGCGACAAGAGTATTGTAATTCCGGCGGTAGATATTGGTGAATATGTTGAGGATCGAGGTCTGCCCTACGTGTTCCAGGACTCGCGAGATTGCAAATATCTTTCCGTAGGTGACTCTGCATAGTCTGGAGACAGAAGAGGGCAATGTCTCTGTGCTTTTTTGGCTCATCAACAAGAAATTTAGTTCTGGACCGCACCAACCAATCGCGAAATGAGAGATGGAGGATCCTAACAGGCTGATCTCGGTCACCAGGAATGCTCAAAACCGATCGGAATGAATCCAATCGGTTACTGATCTGATCTGCTTCTATTCCGAGAAATAGCGACAGCGCATTTATCGAAAGTGGACCAGCAAGAAGGACGATCACGCCGACTATGTTCTGGAACTCTTGTAGGAGCTGCTGCTGCTCCAACTCGTCACTTTCTTGTTCGTCCAGTAGTCGTGTCAGAATTGGTAGGTATGTCTTATCCATCCTCGATACATATTTGGCTTGGTCCCTCAGAAGCTCCGCGAGGCGCGATTTGGGCTCCCATTTTGAATTTTCGATGTAACGGCACACAGTGGCAGCTGAAATAAAGAGTGGAACGGACATTGTAACTAATTCCTGGATAACGTCACTGCCAGGCCAGTCCTGGGCAATACATCTTTCGTGTTTGATCTTCGCGAATCGGTCCTGTAGGAATAAGTGTATATCATGCTCTGTCACATCTTCGGGTATCTCATGAAGAGCTAAGCCCTGATAATTATGATCTGCGATCTGTGAAAAGCCAAGGTGGATTGGGAGTTCAGGCCGACTAGTCAAGAAGATCCGAAGGCGAACATTTTTTGCTTTCTGTAAAAGAGGCAAAAGTTGAATTATGTTTCGGATATCTTGATCGTGTTCACATTCGTCTAAGGCGTCGATCACTATCACAGCAGATTGAGGTTGACGACCGAGTTGGTCAAGAGAGAGCAGCGGGTGAAGGAGTAGTTTCTCAAACTGCTGCCTTAATGATTTTGACCCAATGTCAGGGTCATCATCAAGTGCCTTTTTGACGCCAGGTTTTAAGTCGGAAATCCTGACCATCAGTTGCCTAATCAAAGTCGGAAAAAACTTCTTCGCGTTCCCTCGGTCCCCTTCACCTCTTTTAAAGAAGAAGCTAGCGCCCAGCCGGTTGATGTCCTTGAGCGACCTTGCCACTGTTCGAGATATCGTGGATTTTCCTGTCCCAGCCATTCCCTTTAACCAGAAAATGCTTTTTTGGGACGTTGACATAGCCCATTCCATTATCTGCTGGAGGAGCTCGACCCTAGTGCCTCGGAGACATTGGACTTCGTCTCGATCGGAGAATGACTCAAACCCTGCCTCCATCACGCCTTCCAACCTCCCAAGGTCCATATTCTGATTAATGCGATCGGTATTCTGGGCCACGTTGACTATCAAAGAACTATACAGTCATGAGTCAGTTATACAGTGTCATAATATCGCGCTCGATAAACGTACGTCTGGTCTACCTGCAAAGATAAGAGGAATAAAGAATTATATTTCTCGAGGTTCTGAATAACGCCTTCCAAATCTGCGCGCTTCAGGGGCCATTTCAATGCCCGCAAACCCACTTTCCTCATAAGCTTCTTTCCCTTCCCTGGATCGAGTTTCGCTTCTAAGGCTCGAAGGTCGGCGAGGCAATCGGCAATGTTGCTGACTAGTCGTGAGGAGGTGGGTAAGGCCATTCCGTCGTTACTTTGAAGCAATTTATGCAGGTCTTGGAGTGTGCCTTGGAGGCCTGCAATCGCCTGTTGTAGAGTGATAATTTCGTCTCGTGCAGCTTTCACCTCTTGAATGTAGCCCCCACAAAGCTTCACGATGCTTCCTGTCAGTTGAATGACCGCGATAACGCTCGCCGCCGAGGACAGAGCATCCATTTGGAAGAACACGGCATATAAATGTATGTTCAATGTGGTAGGTGCGATGGTAACTGAGTGTAAGAATTCTGGTTCGAGATTAAAAGTTGGGCATTTCTGGCGGGAGAAAGAGGGGGTAAAAGAGGGCCCAGCGCGAGGCTGTGATCAAGGTGAGTAGTGGGTACAGTACTAATTAACGGCTCGACAGCCGGCCCGAGCCGACCCAGGCCTACCTCGGTGCCCTACGCCGTTCGCCCCCTCAACCGCATCGTTGGTTGACGGCGCGACGAAATCAATCGTAGCGCCTTGACTCGCCCCCTATCGGCTTGTGATGATCCGTGACATGATTAGCAGTAGATCACTGACTACTTGTCCGATTGCTGAAGCGGCTGGCTGTAGCAAACGTTCGAGCATACCATCAGTGTCAACCTCCAGATGTTTGCAGATATGTCCGCGCACCCTTATCGCCGGCGGCCGTCCTCCTAATCATCCTCATGCTATGTCAAATTCTAATTCTTTGCTGAGATGAAAAAGCGAGAAGCTGAACATTGATGCATAATCTCTCAAAGTGTCTTCACGCCACACCCGTTACTGAGTATTGCGCTGTCAGATGTGAAATCTAGCCATAACTGACATTTACTGCTGCCCTAGATTTTCTTCAGCGGTCAAAACGATACTTCAAACCTATAGCGGCCAAATAAAGGAAGACCGGAGGCAATCGATCTACGAAGCAAAAAAACAAACGGCGATGTGTTGAGTGTCTAGGGCTGGCTTTTGCGGCGAAGGAGCTCAAAAATGACATCTCACCTTAGTCCGGTCGCCAAGATGCCAAATAGATTCAAAGAACTAACTAACTTATTAATACCTATTAATCATCAGGAATTCATGCCACGCAAGTCACATAACGCCAGAGCCACTCCCGATGCCGACATGATTTGTTCTACATCACTTCAACAACGTGCGCAGTTTTCTTCACATTCTCAACCCAGTCACGAATATTCTCCACGAAAGTTCGGGCAATTCCGGGTTTGATCCCCTTGCCAACAAAGAATTCTGGGTTTTGGTCCTTGTAGATGTGCTCAAGGTCGAAACCATCTGACAGCGTTACGTCGCAGGCTTGTCGAAACGCTGCTTTGAGGTTGTCGTCCTCGACACTCGAGGCAAGCCACTCACCGTATTCTTTGACAGCTACGTCCCTGAAACCGGGTATGTGCAGTGGTCCTATATCCTTCAAGCTTGCAGTCTCAAGGGCCACCTTGGGAGCCGTAATGTCCTTTCCAGAGGGATGAGACTGCGATGGCAGAACATTAATGTTGATGGGAGGATAGGGTGCCTCAGCCGCAAGGATATTTCCTCCCTTACGCTTTTTTTCTCCAGTCTCTGCTGCTCTTCCATGTATAGCTCTTCCCTGATGTCATCTGGGACGTCTCTGTGTGTCTCCAGAACGCCACCCTTTTCGACGTAGGTCACCAAACGTCTGAGATGATGCGTGCGGAGTTGATAATGCTTTTTCCCCATTGGGTCCAGCCAGCAGTAAGGACCAAGGTGGCAAGAAGCCGAAGCACATTTCATCAGATTATAAACGCGGCGCCAAATAGACTGCTGCCCACAGGAATTCTCCTCAGCATCAAGCTGTGCATCCCGATCATCAAGCATTCTCGTTGTGACGGAAGATTTTCCTCTCTTCTCTCCTCGCCGACCAGCGGTTGGAGAAGAGCGATCCTCCACATAGTTAAAACAGATATTTAGTCTGAGTTTCTTTCCATGGTAAAACAGACCAGACCACATGTGGAGCTTCTTCTCGATGGCGGTCCAATTAATATCCAGTTTGTCGAATCGCTTGGTGAGGTCACGCTGGGAGCGATCATTTACAGACACAACAATTGCAGTATCATCAGCTCTGACCCTTCGGTCGGCGGAGACTTTCCCTCGGAGGACATTCTCTAGTTTTCCTTTCAAGGTCTCTTCCCAGAAGGCATTTGGGGCCAGAACCACGTCCTCTTCCGTGTCTTTTGCGACAATCTTATTGTTGACTGTAACTCGCCACTCTATTAAGTAGTGGATACAAGTTGGCGGGTCTTCGTCGTAGTCTCTTCCCTCTTCCCATTCAGAGAGTTGAAGCAGTTTGAGGGTATCTGTCTGTGATTGGCTTGCTGGCTCGGATCCATTCTCAGGTATACTAGACCGGTCGGGGCTACACGTGGATCGAGTACTGTAGGGGCTGCGGAGGTATCCTGGGGTTGGGGCATACTGCCAGTTCGGTTCCCATAATTCGAGCTCATCAGGTGGAGAGACGATATCGTTGCAGTACAGACTTCCAGTCATATCTACTCGCAATCAAACTGGGGAAGATGGGTCAGCCTATGTAGGGTTGTCAGCTTTCCACGAACGCTATTGAACAAATGACAGTTGGAGGAGAGCAGCCATGAGCATAAACGAGACGCATGTTCCCCTACCAGAGTTAGCCCTCCACAGCAGCATGCAACTTTCTTTAATGTACAGTAAATGAATGACAGTAAATGAATGACAGAAAACGAGTGACAGTAAACGAGTGACAGTAAACCGAGTGGACGAAGGCTTCGGGCGTGCTGAAGGAGGAATGAGAAAGAGACGAACTTTCCACGTCTCCAGATCTTCCACCCTGGGGGTACTTTTGTTAGGAACATTCTCTACGATTCCATAGAGAATTACAGTACCTTACAATGACGTATTCGGCGAACCCGCTTGATACCATATAACTAAACAGGGATTATTTCTAGAGTAACCTAATACAGATTAGGGCGCTTCAAGGTAGGGTCTAGGAAACAATTCGTATGTGCACAAAGGGGAATCTGTTTTCGACTCCGACTGTACATGGTTCGGATGAAGGTTGCGCTGGTGTAGTTGCTGATTTCCTTAGCTCTTTCCGTGGACTACGGGACCTGTGCTTACGTTTATCAAATTTCCCATCAAACGAGTCCCTCGTCAAGGAGGGCATTCAATCGCATCATTCCACTCTAAGATCCCTTGTGTACCATGAGCGACAGCTGATTCCGTTCGATGACCATGATGGGCTGTTCGAAGATGAACGGGATGTGCGTCTTGTTTGGATTGCAGATTGTCTTCTGTGGTTGACCTGAGACAAATAACTGCACTGGCGCTATCGATGAATCTAGCGGCAGCGGTAAGTTTCGTAATCCCTCCTTCCTAACGTAATTCACAGCCATCTCGGCCACACGGTTAAGTCGGCCACCCCAAACACCATACTGAAGGCGATTTTTTATATCTTCATATCTCAACAACAATATCTATTTATGATACGATATTAGAAGTATATAATTTAGATACTATTTAAGACCTACCGGCGGGGTATGGGAAATTCACTAGAAGTATTAGTAGAGATTTATATATTTATTTCCACGACATCAAAATTACACCGTATTTTATCGTAAAGCATTTAAATAATCATCTAAACTGGCTAAATCTGCGTTATGTTATTTCAAATGCCAAGAAAAGCCTATATCTTAATATTTAAGTAAAAATAACCTATGGTTGTTGAGATATGAAGATGTGAAAAATCGTATATAGTACGGTGTTTGGGGTGGCCGACTTGACCGTGTGGCCGAGATGGCTGTGAATTACGTTACCGGTTCTAATAGAAACAGCAACGACACCTGGAACCGTCACGTGAGCATTCCCCGCTGGAGCTTTTACACCTGCGTTTTAGTTGACCCGACTGCATGCACCGTTACCTCACGCGAGAGATTGATTCTCTTTTGCGTAAATCACGACAGCTATATCCTCTCCGTGACGTCACAGCCGACCCGTTTCTTCCCCTGTATGTGGAGAATGATGAGACAGAGCATAGTCATTGCGATCTAGCGGCGGCCCAGTGCGGCCCGACGGCAGATGCTACGATGTCTGCATTATACACAGAGGCCGACGAATGTTTGTCATTCGCCACGTGGGCTTTCAGCCCAGACGGGCTATTATCTTTACAAGTGCTCGGGGTTGGAGATTTCTCTCATGAGGATCGGTATCGGTCACAGCGCTTTTTAGTGCGTCGGCTGGGATCGTCAAATATTCCCCGCCTACTCCCGAAATTCTGCCCTTTTACCCGATAGAGTTGTCCGACCCTCACATTTGGAATGGTGTCTCGGTGGATGGTGCTCGTTTCCTCGGGGCGTGTCTAGGGGGCGGTATAATGGAATCGCCGTACGAATTTTGAGATGAATGCCACTCCCGCGGCGCAGTTAGTTGTTTGGGCTAGAAGAACTGGTACTTCAGTCTAAATAGAGCTTTATCCAATTTATGACTATCTTAACGCTTCGTCTCTCCCAAGCTTTCTGGGCAATCTTTTCCTGCTGTCAGGACTTATCCTCCTGTCAGAAAACGTATTTTACGTATTCTTGCTCAGCTACGGCTACCGCCGCTCAGATTCAGGGGCAATAGACGAGGACCTAGAATCAACACGTAACATACACGAACCAATCGACTTTTGCTTTAGCATTAACTGTCCACTTGACCGTGTACACAGTACCTAGCTAGTGATATCAGCACCCGCCGACCGTATTTAACGGCTTTTTCCACGTCTCGAAGCCTGTTGAATTCGGCGGGTGGGCCAGTGATGCCATGCTCAACCCGGGCAGTGAACCCTCGCCTGCAAACATTCAAAGCCCTTTCGGCTCACTCTTGAGGCTACGGGTAGCTCTTGTTGATCGCCTGCTCTATTCGCTTGTCTTGTCTCTCAAAGCTTGAGTCAGCATATAAGAAGTCGCTCAATCAATTCAATCCTATCGTAAACCCCTTTGGGAGCGGGATTCTATTCATCTGTAGGTCCTCAAATCGGGTTGCAATGGATTCCACTATGCCTGTTTCATCTCTGGAGCGTTCGGCTAAAAGACGACGAGAACAATTCGACTCTGAATCGCAATCTGCTTCTGGAACAGACAGTCTCCAAAAGCCAGCCAGTCTAAAAATACGGCGCGGAATCAAAGTAAGGCTTCTTTCCTCTCCCCCGACGGCGGGAATATTCTATCAATCTCAACGGACTCACACGAGAACATAGGAGGCATCGGTGACTAGAAATATTCCCCTTGTTAGTGAGATGAAACGGATTTTGGATGAAAATCCCTCTCTAGCTTCGTCGGCCATGGAGCTTCTTGATCTCTATCTTTGTCTATGGGATTGCTATACTGTATTGTCAAGTCCGCCCAGAAGATACGGCTAGAAGAGGAATACCGAGTGCTCCGGGACTCCAATGCATGGCTCGCACAGGGGAACAGCCAGTTGCACCAGGCATGCGCCGATCGCGAGTTGCTATTGTGGGACCGTCTAGAGGCTTTCAACTCCCTAGGGCGGGGCATAATCGCGGTACTCCAGAGCAGCGAGCGTTTCCCGTCCGACATAATCATGCAGCAGTAATAAGCGGAAATCTGGATGATAGCTTATACTTGGACTGTCTCATTGTTGATTCACAACCGTTGATGCACGATTTTGCTGTCTGGTGAAGTAGGGCAAGGGAGCGGCGATGTTACGGGTGTCTGGATTGCAGGTCAGAGAACCTGTTGGCCAGGCAGAGGGTCCAAGTCTATAGGGTCTGAATTCCAAAGACTGAATCTTGGAGTCTGGTAGTCTCCACTAGATTCCACAATAAATACATGGAGGGTCCGCTTACCGAGCCCCACAGCCCCGCATACGGCCTGAGGGGTTGTTACCCTAAGCCGATGCGGGATTGATTCAACTGTGAATCGCTGGAGTCACCACGTATGACTTGCGCCGTGACAGGCGACCTAATAGTGTGCCCCACTTCAACTATCGCGCTGGTAATCCGTTTCACACTGCTATCCGCTGCAAAGGGGTGCATGTTTGGTTAATGAAGGCCTTCTGCCAAATGCATTGAAAGAGCGTAAGAAGTACGTACGGTACGGAATAGTATATTCGCTCATTTTTTTCCGGATAAGAATTGAAATCTTATATATTTATATTCTGATTCTGAGAGAGTTTGCCCTCTCCAGATGTTTGCTAGGCCCAGCAGCAGTCATATGCCTTGAGGGTTTTTCTCCCGCTCGTGGGTTTTCCCTCTCTCTTCTTCCTTCTTCCTGAGATAGACTTCCCAATCCCAGTTGTCTCGCCTCCAGATTACTTCCTATCCTTGTAGACCTGTAGGTCTATCATGACCTATCTAGGTCGTTAACCTGCAATGATCATGAGCTAGAAAATGCTTGGAGGGCCGACATCTATGAGGTATTTATAGGGGCAAGCCTTGCTTGGTCCTGCTGGTCTCTGACAGTATCAGCAATTTTGAGCAGGTTGATGGCAAAGTGTACTGGTAAAATCACTGATCCCCGCAGAAATACATCAAAAGCACCGAGGAGATAATCACTGACATCAAAAAAGACCCTTGATTGCCTTCATTTGAAGCTTGTAAAGATACCCAAGGGGTTATGTCCGCCGCATCAGATACCTCATATTTTAATACTCATGCCCTCATTCTTCATTGCAGACTCCCGCCAAAAAGATCCTTTATTCTGTATCAAGTGGGCTGCCAGCTAAATGCACTCGAACACCTTATCTTTATCCACTCTTTAGACCGCACTTTTTGGCATTAAGGGAATATCAGCATGTATGCATAATATTCTGAACGGAGATATGTTTTTCCTAAAATTCCATCAGCCTCAAGAAAAATGAGCCAACTAGCTTATCATATGCCTCAGAATTTCCCTGATGCATTGACTATATCAAGTTCCACTGTTGACTACCATCCACTAATGTTTAATTAAAGCCCAGGTAGGTATCCTAGCTACAATGGATTGGATGCCTCATCTTTTGAGATGCCGACTTCAACGCTCAGCTTTGCCGAACCGATTGTAAGAATTACTAGTGTTCGAGTGGGTCTACGTTAGCGGTGATGTGCTCTCCACCGACATGGTAGACCGCGCAGTCACGTTGTTCAATGCCCTTGCATTCTTGAGGGCGTAGGGTCGATTTTGACTTAGGAGTCTGAATCTCCACAGAGCCCCAATGATCACCACGAATAAGGTCGAGTGATGTCATTGCTCCGGCTCGGTCTCAACGTATACTGATGTCTCAACGTGTTTTAGAGACGTGCCGGGCAGGAATGTGAAGCTCAAATTGGCATTACTCCGAATAAACCGTGAACCCGCGGATGTTTATTGGAAACCCCAAGGCGGTACCAATCCCAGAGACACTCCACTCGATCCCCGGAGGGGTTGATCCGAACGCAAGAGCGAACGCCGAACCGCTACCAGAACCAGACTCCCTGCGAACACTCACAGCAACCGCCAAGTCCACCATTCGCCGAGCGATGAGAAACGAGTGGGACCTAGTCTGAGAGACATGCAAACACGACAGAGAGCCTTTCAGGGTTGGAGTGCGACCGGGGAAAGCGATCCTCGATACACATGTCGGGACACAGCAATCAGCTCGGTAATCGACTGTACTTATAGATGGACGTTGCATAGCTGCCTTAGGGCGGCTGGGACAGCCTATGAATCAATCAATCAATCATGAATAACCTCTCCTGGGAGGTATATTGCTCCTGGAACTCTAGTTTGAACGTTCCCAGAAGTGGTGGGCAGGGCCGCGGATAGCTTCACAACCCAAAATTCAGTATTATGTATTTTGATGCGACAATATGAAAAGACTAGCTTCTTGTACCTATCATGTGAGGTTAAGTCGTGAGTCACGAGTCGTGACGTACGAATCTAAACACGTGATTAATGTCTCTCGAGTCGTGACTTCCTTGACCTCACCACCCTCAACGACGGTCTTAAGTTATTCACAACACCATCCAACATTTACGGAGTCGCAATCAGAAAGATGCCAGCGAGCCTCCTGAGTCTTCCTGACGAACTTCGTAATGAGATATAAAAATATCTCCCTATACGCAGAGAGCCTATTGATCCCTGGAATGGAGATCATGAGCTAGAACTCAATCTCCTCTCCACGAATTCGGCCATCCTACATGAGGCAGGGTCACTACTATATGGCCATAACTGCTTTGACCTCACATGAGAACCTTGCCGTATACCTGAATTTCTGGTTACAATTGGTTTTATCAACGCATCTCACCTTCAATGTATCCGCATCGACTTTCCTGAGCTTCACGATCTTGAAGACGAGGTCAGCCTGGGCGAACACAGCGTTCATATCCTGGAAAAGATCCAATCACGCTGTACCAACCTAAAAAAGCTCATAACAGCCGCAGATAGCACAAATGCTGTGGAATACCAGCTGGATTCATTTGACAGCCCTAAGATTTGTGCTAAGGCATTAGCACTGGTGGATGCTCGCTTCAGAAAAATTTCGTCTCTCCAAGTAGTTGTCATCGAGGTTTATGGGGAAGGTCCAAGCTCAGATATTCGAAGGAAAATGGAGAGTCAAGGATGGAAACTCAACGGGGTGGAGCCAGCGGAAGAAGAGGAGTGGGACATCGGCAGATTTTGGGATGATATTGAAGATGAAGATTATCTTTTTGATGATTACGATGATGATGAGTATGACAATTGACAATGACAGCGACTTTTGGAGAAGAGCGGCAGATTAGGTAGGTCACTCTACCGAGCGTTTTTCCTCTGCCAGGTGGGGCTTTCCTTTCTGAGATGCCGCCGCTTTTATGAGGGCGCTCAGAGTCAGACTCACTGAGTAAATCTCAGACCGGACTCAGACTAAAGACTCAGACTCAGGGAGCTGATCAGAGCATTCACGTGACTGCTCAGAGGCGCTCAGTGAGCGTGATCAGTCAGCTCACTGATTACTCAGATACTGATCAGAGGCATCTATTGAGCACCCAGTCCGCCTCGCCCAGGCCAACTCGAGCGCCCCACAGTATTGTTTATTTCGGTAATCACTTTTGTGTAGCCCGCTTTTTCTTTCATGAAGCCATTTCTTGAGTCATTGCATCCTTTAAAAAATAAACAACTCGAATAATAATGCCGCAAAAAAGGTAGGCACCGGAGGAAAGGCCGTTTTTTGGCCCTTGTTGTTGAGGAATACCGGTGATCCGTGCCTGGGCAGACATCGAAGTACAAAATGGGGGTTCTACCCTTCACTCTACAGCTTCCACACAGTTACCTTTCGCTGTTTACTACATCACCCATTCGTTCTCTATCTTAGTCTCGGAATTTGACGTAGCTTTCCTAAGGCATAGAGAGAGATCTTTTTATTGCTACGAAAGACAAGGTCGCCAAAGAGAACCGCCGAAAAAGACTAGAAAAAAATGGCTACGTTTTTGGTGCCCATACGCAAGCAGATTCAGTCCGCAATAAAAACAAAAGGATACCGAAGACCAAGAGGAGGTATAACAAGGTTGTCAGGGATTAGATGGAGTATGTTACCTTGCATCCTTACAACAACAGACAAGAAATAGGTTACTGACTTTATTCAAGCTTCACGGAGGAGAATAGGATAAAGGGCTATAAACTAGGCGGCTCCTGTGCGGCTCCAGATCATACGCTAATCAAAGAATTGCTCCGCTAGTACTCTTATTCGGCGCCGGGGCAGAAAGCAAAAAACGGACGACTAGTCATGAAATCGGTCCTGTGTTATGCAGAAAGATTATTTGGTGGTTTTGAGGAGAGGATGCAAATAAACATTGTGATAGAAGACCGGAAGGAGGTATTCAACGTACGTTAGACCAAGTTTGTTTTCTATTTTCGGATATATATCGATCTAATCGCAAAACAGTGGATCAAGAGAACACTGACGGAGGATAAGCAAACGATCGAAAATTTCGAGGATCCCAATCACAGCTTTACCAAAAGGATTTTCTCCGGGTAGTAACCTCGATGTAGCAAGCAGATCATCGTCGGTTCATGCCCGGGTTGCTTAAGGCCATCATAATACTGGCTCTTCAACTATACCTTTTTACTGGCGCAAGAATTAGAGCTTTCATACCGGAACACGAGGACAGACTCGAAAGGGGCCTTAGATACAAGGTAAATCTATCAAATCGTGGGTCGATTTATCGCTAACTGATATTCAAGCACATCACTCTCGTATGATTTCCTTCCGCAACGACACCTTGGAAGCTGGAATGGAAAGTCGACTAAGTATAGCTCAAAGGCAATCGGAACCCAGAATACACAGTATAAGTCACTTTACAAAGTTGCTATGACGAGTGTCCTTAGGTCGATATCTTACTCACAGGAAATGAATAGGTTTGGAATCGGAATACGTGACACTAAGAGACTATAATTCGTAGCTAGTTATATTCTTCTAGCTATTGCTCTATAGCATGGTGCTCTTTTTAGCATCGAAACAGTGGACGACCTCGCGATTATGGAACTACGCTAGAAAGAAGAATATCTGGAAAAGCCTGTTCTCAGAAATGTCACGGCCGAAGGCCTATAGGACGTTCCGCTCGATATGCAACGCTTTTGCGGGTTTCTGCGTGCAATAATCACGGCCGCTAGATATAACAAGAGTATCACTATCTATAAAATTCGAAAATACCTCGGAAGTGTTGTTGAAGGTGAGTTAATCAAAGCTTAGGCATAATTAAATATACCAAATTGCTAATTACAGACAGGGAAGCACGGCTCCGCCTTGGTATCTTAGATATATGGCCACAAAGATGCCGGCACGTACCCTAAAGACTATGTATTACACTGCTCTTCTATCGATACTGTCTCAGCCGTTTTGGAAGAAGAAGAAGAAGAAGACAAAAGTCACATTGAATATTTTCAAGGATTTAAGAGGTTCTATGAACATGGACTACCCGGGGAACTGCCTGCTCAGGTTGAAGAAAGGCTCCTACAAGAGCCGGAGTTAGTTGAGATCAGAAGTCGCATCACGCAACTTGAAGCCTTCGATAGGGACAAAGAGGGATTAACTGCAGAGCGATTAAAATACCGAAAGGCGTTGGTTCGGTTTCGCCTTTCTGAGCTAAAGAAGTACCAAAGCAGCTGGATACGGGAAAGAAGAGACCGAAGAATCCTTAATAAAGGGAAAGGAGAGCAGGTAATTGATGACAAAAATGATGTTTGCACACGGTCTCAAGCCTTGATAATGCCGGAATTCGCGCGAATTTCGACCTTAATGTCTTTTGACGGCGGGCTTTCCTTCACTGAGATGCTCCTTTTCGTGGAAGACCTAAAAACTTATTGCGGGCGTGACTTCGACGTGGTTTACCTTCCACAGGAAAGTCCCGTTGCTGGTCGCTGCCCCGCCGGAGATTGTCACAAGGAGATGAAATGGTGAGCTGTCTGGCCAAACAATGATGAAACCATGCTAACGTTTTCAGTCTCAAAAAATCCGACCGCAGTGCCCACATCCATAACTGTGTTCGTCGTGGGATTGCTTCGGACTTTCAGGTCTTAGAGTCAAAGTTGAAATATTGCTACGAGTGCATGAAATGGTTTCAGCTAAGCCAATGGCGAGATCATTGCTCTTTCCACCTCCAGTCATGGAAAACTCAGCACTGTGAGGTGATCATATACCGTCACACGGTGGTCCGCCCCGGTTACTGCCCCTTTTGTGTATGAGATCAGGACCTTGACGCAGCAGACCGCTTACACTCGTGGCTGACCAGTGGTAATTTGAGGCAACACGTTGAAGAACAGCATATGAATGGAGATCAGGGCGGTGAAAAGAAATTACGATGCGGATGTGGTCAAATATTTGATAAAGAGCGTGAACTACGACATCATTTACATGACATCCACAAGCTGAACAAAGCTATATGGCTAACTCCGAAGCACCAGAGGAAGAGAAAGCATGCCTGCAAAGAGGAGGCGCAAATATCACCAGCTGAGCCGGAGGAGCGACGCTCCAAAAGACCTCGCTTTTACCGCTATCCGCCTCCACGTCACGAGCATGAGCATCAATTGTCAAAAAGCATTTTCATCCCCGTTCCCGCATTGTGCGTTTTTGTTGAGGAACATCCAGAGCAATATTATTGTTCAAGTCTGAGCGATAAGTCGACTAAAAGCAGCAGAGGTAGCTCGGTCAGCCCCTGCTCCTCTGCAAACAGTTCTCCACTCAGCTCGCGACCAACAACTCCTGGTTTGGATGACATTGATCCAAGAATCCTAGACTCTTTGGGAGTCTACAAAGCTCGGAGGCCTCAGCTTTGTGGTCAAGATTACTCAGAAACGGATGTGCTTGCAGTCCTTCCGGACGAGCACGAAGTCAAATCCCAATTACCCGCCGTTGGAGCACATCCAGGGTTTCATATTCAAAGTATTGCCGATCAATCCGTCCCTCATTTTGAGACCATTGGTTCTTGCTCTCTCGAGCCGGCTGATCACAACACAAACGATGCATGCAAAATTGGTGGTGGTGTTGCCAACCAGCTACAGTTACCTAGCCCATCTCCAATCGAGAACAACGCCATAGAGAAGGACATAGAAGTAAAACCTATGGAATTGCGCGTTCTGGGTGTGCCTACTACTGGCTTTACCGCAAGCGAAGCGAACGAGGAGAAGGAAAACCCACGAGACGCCCGACCTGTTTCCAAGTCAGGCAACCGTATATACTATAAATTGTGGGATATTTTTCTACACTTCAAAATATATTACCGTATATTTTTATGTACAAGTTTAGTACATACCTGCACCGCCACACCATTGACACAAATTTTTGTCTGAGGGTTTCGTCAGTGGTACGGTACGGTATAGAGTTTGTATTGGCGTGACCGTGTAAGCTCGTGTCGCTCTGTGGTAATAACTTGATTCCACTCCATTATCACTTCATTCTGAACTGGCCACTTAGTTCCTCGAAATGCTTTGTGGCGGATTAATCATTTTATTTGTTCGTGTTTCCCTGCAACGCCTGCAACCACCCTTTTGCTTCTCCCCTATTATCAGTTCACTGTGCATCAGTATGTGATGTGACATATCCTACCATTTTGGCGCTCATTGTCTTGGAAAGCATAGTCACTGGGAATCATGGGGTTGGAATCATGGGAATAGAATAATGGTGAGCTGGAATACTGGTGGGATGAATTGGAATTATGATCAATTGGAATTATGATCAATTGCAATTATGATCAATTGGGTTTATGATCAATTGGGAGACTGTTTACTCCAAGGAACAGCGGCAGTAGGCCGAGGAAAAGGTCCAAGTCTGCACAGTCACTGCGGGTTTAAGCTTCGGAGCAATTCAACTTGATTCAGCTTTTCACTCGCTCGCGCAAATTATAGTTGACGGAAACCACCTTGAAGTTGCATTTACCAGCCGAATGTATCTTTCCACGGAATCGTCAAGCTAACAATTACGGTACATAAAACAAGGTCATTATTCCAATCATAAAGACCTTTTTCTTTCCATGGTCTAACAAGGTAATACAGGACAAAAATGAACATTGAGAAAGGAAAGCTACGACACCAAAATCGCGATATCAAGGCGATATTTGGTGATCTTTTTTCTCTAAATGGTACCATGAAGGAGCAGGCGCCTCCCTTCAGGGTGTCAACCGCCTTGGTGTCTTACAATCATGCCGTAGACTTGATTGGTAGACAATCTTTCACCGGCGTGGTTGGTCCCAACGAAGTTGTGATCTCAGTTAACAATGGAGTCACCATCTGGGGGGCACTTTGCCAACCGGTAAACGGTGCGATCCAAATCTCTGGCAAGCTTTCATGGCTCCAAGTATAGAGGCTTAGTATTTGGTTTGAGCTGGTTCAAAACTCATTGGCACATCAGAAGGGAACTGGAAGTAACGGCTTGTTTGATTTTTCTGTGAGGTTTACCTTATTCGGATCAGACAACTAGTCCATATTCTCTTAGCATTACTGAGACCTCAACGATGATTGCATCTGGAAGATTTTATGCGTGGTTATTTGTAGATTACAGCTCTAGTTTGAGCACATATCCTACTCCCCTGAATGGCACTCCGATTTCTTTAGAGTCTTGGCAGCGGGGACCAGGATGAAGAAAAGGGTGTACGACAGCGAAGCTGGTTACATAGAGTACGTCAATTTAGTTAATAATATTCAAACTGTACTTGAACCTCCTATCAAATAGCCTAAAACTCAAAGCCTTTCAATATGCTTTAGAGACATCGCGGAATTTCACTTGTAGATTCCAGTAGACTAGGTTCCGGCACGTCCATCGATATGTGCAGTACCAGACGCATAGTTCATTGCGAGTCCTGAAGAAGTATTCTGGTCTTCCATCCAATTTGTTGAAGGCGACCCTCAATGTAGGCCGCGACTTCGCGCAATGTTGAAGCCCCGCCAAGGCATGCCTTCGCTTCGAGGTGTTGTGCGAGTCCGCTCAGTGTTTTGAACGTCTGAATGAAGCCAGAAGCATGTGTTACTCCCGGTAAGTTCGTCGGACAGTGGTAAACAGGCTTTGCGTGAGCAGCAGAATTTCGATGTTGATCAAGTGAACCCGTGGACTTGAATGTCTTCGAACACTCGCAGCAGCGTACTTTTGATGACCGTTCAACAGCATCTTCAAGCTGCAAAGAAATGTCATTTGGATGCGCCAAGTGAGATAACGACAACGAATCGGTGGATAATGGGCTATCTGGAGTGTAGATAACTTCGTAGTCCGAGGAGCTATCCGAGAGCTCACTGCCAAGCTCAAGAGTAGGGAAGACTAGACTCTGTTCGGATATGATGTGATCGGTGTCATATGCGCAAATAATGCTGTTGAGCTTGCCTCTGGCCATTTTAGAGACGCAGGTGCCACTTTCAAGGTGATGTAAAAGCGATGAAGGACTCTTGAAGTGCTTATTACAGTGCGCTTCAATGCATTTCAAGTCACTGATAGCAACATGTGCTAGTGAGACTTCATGTTGCTTCAATGCGGAATTGCTGAGGAACTTTCGATTGCATTTACCACATACGTGACCTTTTTCGCGTGGCGGAATGGTGTGCTTCTTTTTATCCCTCAGGTGTTGCTCAAGTGCGGTCTCGTTGACAAAATCTCGGTTGCACTCACAGCATCGAAATTGATCCACATGACCTGGTGCTTTTTGATGGTGGTGTAGTTCGTTGGGTGATCCGAAGAGTTGATTACACGATCGACAATAGCAGTGGCCTGCGGATCTTTTGTGTCGGTTTAGCGCTTTGAGGCTGGGGAACTGCTCGTTGCAATGTCCACATCCTAAATGATGAACATCACGTCTGTGTTGCTCCAGGCCTTCAGGTGTCGTGAATTTGCGCTTACACTGGGGGCATTTGCGACTGTGGACCGCTTTTCGATGCTGTCGTATGTCTTTGCTATTCTCGAACTTCCGGCCGCACTTGCAGTTGATCATTGCTTGCATCGTCTGATATATGTTTTTTCATAAGACTTGTGAAAAAACTAAATTGGTATTTTCTCTAGTCTTGGACTAGTCTTGTCTAATTATGAGGACCTCTGCGACGGAGAGGTCCGTTATATAATACTGTAAATGGTATAGTGTGCGTTGCAACTAGAGTCACCTACTTTCGTAGTAACCCTAGTCGATTTTGGAACGCCATATTGGCGCAACCTATGTTGTATCGGAATTTATCCCTGAAAGTATCGTAACATTCTTTAACTGATAATTTCATGTTCATTAACTTTCCTGAGGCATTTCCACGAATGCTTCATACCATTCGGTGGTTGACAGAAAAAGCACCATTCTTTAGCGTCACATAGTAAGATCAGGTTACGTTACACTACAGATTGCATGCTTGAATATACCTTTGCAAACGGATTATTTTCCCCGGCGGTTGAGGTGCTGCAGCATTCCCAAGAAGGGCATACCCTAAAAAGCAGCATTTTAAGGTGGTCCTCAGTTTGGTGCGGATTAATTAATGGATGCTCTACATCGAACGCATCACACAAGAGGGGCGGAAGATTATAGCATCAAAATCCTAAACGCAGCAGCTTTATAAGCCTTCATTATGGTGCACCTTTCCAGTTGTTCACGTACCGATTCACGTTTCCCCAATAAGTTGTTCTCCATTCCGGCGAGCTGTGCCTTGGCCAATTGATTCGCGCCTTGATCCCTTGGGTTCCATTCGATTCAACGGAGGACAAGGAGTCCCTTGCTGTTACTGTAAACATTTTATTGTGATTATTCTTGTTGCCGAAAATTGAGAATGAGTCCAATCATTATCATTCCACTTAAGCGGATCAAAATACGCCTCGTCCTTCTTGCTAGTAGACTGGATGAGCCGCCCAGTCTCAAGGCCCTCTTCACGACAATTTGTATTCTCTGTCGCAGTTGGCCGAATTTGGCTTTTGATAGCACACCAAATGAATAATTTGACACGTTGCGCACCACCTTTTGAATCCTAGACTGGGTAGATACGTGTTATTAAATTTCCTGCCCGCACCACTTCAACACACTAGTCTGTATTTAAAGTTGCGTCGTCGTACGGTCCCGTTTTGATTGTGCAAATTTATCCCTGTGATGTACTCTACGAAGTTTATCGTCGGCTCCGAGAATGTCTCTCTGGCGTCGAAGTGCTAGCCTGGGCCGAAGCTTCGCTTTCGTCAAACGTGTGGGGTCCTGTAAGTGCTTATTACCTATGATCGCTGTCAGGTGCGATTATATCGAGAAACTTATGGAACTGGTCGATGACGTGAAGTAATTCGGTGGGGAAGAAAGAGGGTTGGTGTTAGGCCGAATATGCAGCATGATCGGTGAAAACGTGCGTGGTTATATCGAGTAAAAAGGTCGGTCAACACAAACCATTACTGAAAAGGGTGCGAATGTCCCAATAGTATATCTACATAGTATCGGAGTTACAAGTACTGTATACCTGTTTACACTATTAGTCCTTTTGTTTTCTCGTGCTGCTTGTTGCGGTAACCGTGGATTCCTTTTAAGCTGAGACTTCTCCGGTCATCCTCCGGATTCGTATTGTATTGGCAGGAATGCGGTAATGTGGCTGAGTTTCGCGGCCGTTCTGGTTAGTTCTTAGGCAGCAATACATATGTCCATGTTATCGTACATTCAATTATAAAGTCAGCGATACAACACACTTGGCCATCACAATTTTGTACATTGTCTAATCGAAAAGTTCTTAAGAGGGCTCCATAAGCTGAATTGTTACGATGTCAGGTGAGTTCCACCCACAAGCCGGTCCACATATTTAGCATATCCCATTTTTTTAGCAACTCAAACCCCGCCCCTCAATCCCGAAGAGGGCCTAGAAAGTTCCTCTCTTCTCACGTCTCTCGAAGATTTAGACCTGCATGTCGACCAATCTCCAGGAATCGAAGATGGCGAGTCTGGTTGCGAAACTCCAAGATCTGTGTGAGAAGCCACCATCTCTTTACATTGATCTTGAAGGGGTCAACCTTTCAAGACACGGTTGCATTCCGATTCTAGAAATCTACATCCTTCCAATTGACAAAATGTATCTGGTGGATATATGGAACCTGCAGAAGAGGGCCTTCCAACTGAAAGCTTCCCCTAATGTCCCTAAGGTCTTCTTCGATGTTCGAAACGACTCAGATGCACTATAGAGTCTTTTCTACTATTAAAAAAGCATAAGCACAAGCGAAGGTCTCTTCATACGAACCCCAATCGTTTCACCATTCGAGCCTTAACCATGGGGCTGACTTCATCCACCACCAGGTCACTCACTTAACTCCCACGCCGTTGCTGACACAATCGAGGCCGAGAGCGACTTTCAGTTCACCAAGATCGCATTCAACGAACTTGTTCGTGCCTGCTTGGGGTATAATGCACCCTCGACAGAGAGGTTCCTACCACCACACAGTGCTATACCTGTATTTATTCAACCACCGTTAAACTCATCCAGAGGAAGTTCCGTTTTATATAGAAGTGGACAAGGTACGTTTCTCTCGCTCGCCTTCTTTTGGATTTCTTTGTATCCCCGTCTGAACCCTTATGAAACGCATCTACGAACTCATAGTCCATTTGCCTAATCAGCAAGTCCACGGCACCTTCAATTTGTAACTGGATATGATTCACGACATACAGGGCTCGCAACCATAGATTTTGACTTTATTGCCTGATCAATTTAACGTCTATCTAAAAATTAACCGCCGGCTCCAGCAAGGGCAGCATTACATGATGACATTCACCATGGCGGAACTGTTTCGATAATTAGCCCTCAAAGCGCTCGTCGTTCAAGATCCCTATATTACACAATGAATGAACCATTGACGATTCGTTGGCAATCTAATAATTGGCAATCTCCAAAACTACTGTAGAAAGGTATGTTGCGTCGATGTGTATTTGTATATTGCAACTGTTTCTTCCGCCGCGCAGTCTACTTCCCAAATTAAAAGAGAAAGTGCTCCACGATCTCTCTTGCATACGATTTCATGGAGAGCTTTGCTTGGTTATCAGTCATAATTTCTGCATAATGTCGGAAATAGCGACAGTATCGGAACGGATTAGATAAGAGAGTAAGTCCATTTATGAGACTGTATATATCTACACACGAAATCACCATAGGCAGGGGATGACAAAACGCAACTAAATTAGGCACAGTTTACGCTCTGCCGACGAACGCCCTGCGAACTGGATATTAAATGAGTCGCAGTGTCCCAGAGCAGCACGAGGTTGTCACCAAAGCCGGGCGCTAGCAGTCGGCCGTCGGGCGAGAAGGCTCTGACATGACCGGACTTGAATGACCCTCGAGAGTCTGCAATTGAGCATCCTATCTTTCCTCAACTCGTGTTGACTGGCCTTTCCAACTAGGAAGCTCATGTTTGAACTCAACGCGGATTATAGCCTATTCGCGGGCAAATACCAGCCCTGCGCATCAAAGCTGAAGCGGCGCCTCGTCAACTATCTGATAATACGTTAGTTTAAAACACCGTGCATAAATTCAGATATCAGAGTCCCGATCCCCCTCGATCTATTAGAGCAAATATTACACTCCTGTACTGTACATTCTATTGGAGAGATAGCGCCACCATCCATGTCGGTAGTATTACTTTTCACAGAAACTGCACGTAGATTTATCCGCTTTCGACGCCCATCTCCTCTGCTAAATTTCAAAGTTCCAAGAAGGCAACGTTTCAAATATGTTTTTGGCTCCTCCCCTTCATCTTGCTCTATTTCCTAGAAGACTTTTCGCTTGGTTTGTCCTCCTCATCTAAATGAGGCTGCACGCCTTCGTCAACGGGCCCGTCTAGAGCCTCGGGAGGTACCGATGGTTCATTGAAGTTCGAAAGCTCTGGTTCTTCCGCATCCAACCCCTCTTCTTCAATCAGAGATCCCATAGTACTTTCCCCAGTCCGGTAGTCGTCATTTAGTGGGCGATCGAAAGTACCTTCTGCAAGCAAACGAAATTAGATTCTCAAACTAAGCAAGGGTTAGGTTAAGGATGGGGTCGTATACCATCGCTTTTTGTCCTAACAAACCGTTTGCAGGTCTCCGAGCCTTTTGTCAAGATCAAGAGCTCCTTGTTGAGCTGCTCACGAATTGTTTGACTTTCTTTTGACTCGCCGGCAATCCTTACGATAAGATCCGCTGGCATATCGAACACTGTCATTGGCGAGAAGATGCGGGACAGAGTGGACATCAGTCTGCTTTCCACAACTTCGTTGGCAATATCATCCACGAATCGCTTCCTTGCAACCTGTCTTTAATTAGATCGACTTTATTCTAAGTATGACGGGTTATAAATCACCTTGTAGTAAGCCAGCATACAGTCCAATGCTTCAATTGACGCAAAACGCACCATATCAGGTTCGGATTGTTGCAACAGCGATTTGAGAAGTTGATCAAGATTGATTGAATGCTCTGATATGTAAGGCTCTTTTAAGCTGTCTACCCCAAAGAATCGTCGCAAGGTCTTGGCGAGCTGGTCTTCTTGGCGCTCAGCCCGAATCTTCTGAAGGGTTTCCGTGAAATAGTGATTGTAGGTAATTGGATGCCCTCTTTGGTGGGGCTCCAGGAGTTCTCGAGTCTTGATGTCGATTTCCTTTTTGATAGAGTCGCAAGCCGGGACGATGATCTCATCGATCAATGCGGCTGAGGTGGCTTCATCGGTGATGTGTTTAACCACAAGGGTGAGAAACTTTCTCGCAGCGGCCCATATGCCGTCTGTGTGGCAGCAGGTCAGTTGTTCCCACGGAGAGCACTGCTCCAAGAATAGATCACGAACTATCATTGGATTAAATGTCCCAGGTAGCTCGCGGCCCCTGGTTCTCCTGAGGAGATGGCTGATGTGCTTGATATACTCCTCACGAGTAACACCAACCTGGTGCTTAGCCGGACTCTGTCCATCATTGGGCTCGCAGATGCGTCGATAGTGACCCCGCCGGCTGATGCGCTCGGCAAAATCTTCGTTAGAGTTCTGCACCATGGCTCGTATTCTTTTATGATATCCATTGGTGGAGTTTGCGTCTCCGAAAAAAGGGTCATTGTATGTGCCATCAATCGCCGCTTTCACAAGCTCCTGAAGGGACTGGCTTATATTCAGAAGATAAGACTTCTGCTCATCAATAGTGATTCGTGGTTCGCCAAGTCTTTGTAGGCGAGTTCTGCAGTGGTCGGCCTTATCTTCAATCTCTCTGATCAGGCTCGGTAGCTCGGTGGCGATTTGCGAAAGCAGCACCTTGCTCAGCCGTGTCCGCAGGCTGTCAATGCCAACTAGGGAGCTTGGCAGATCTTTCCATACTCCTTGGGAGAAGAAGTCGTGTTCCTCGGCATCGCGTTGCTTTAGGGTCCATTGGCCTTTATCCATGTCCATGTTCTTCAAGACGTGCCATCCAAGCCGGAATTCCACATTCTGATTCTTCGCTAATGAGACGAACATTGTTTCACTTTCAGACCCGGCGACCAAGGTGTCAGGCTTTGTTATGATCCCAAGCGTCCGCCTTCCAGAGGGGTCCGCATCTCGAGCTAGCTTAAGGACAATTTGATTGGCAAAGTCATTTTTGGCAGACACAACGGCCAGGATGATGCTGCGCGGCTCTTGCATGAAGGATTGGACGACATCCTGAACAAGCTGAACATCCATCGCTGACTGTTGTTTGGTTTCCGAATGGATAAGTCCAGGCAGGTCGACGATAGTCAGATGAGGGCGGTCAGGACCCGACACTTCAATCCGAAGGATGTCATTTGAGAAGGCCTTTCCATGGGTTGTTATCCCCATTGCCCCTTTGGCTTTTTCGATCAGGATCGGTAACCCTTCGAAGCTCTCTAGCTGTTCGCAGAAATCACTGAGTGATCGTTGCTCAATGTCGCTGCGCGTGTGATGAGGCACGATGGATACACGAACCCCGACATGGGAATGCTTTCGGAGGACAAGCTCGGTAGGAAATCGGGTGCACAGGTTACTTTTGACAGGAAACCCCACACCGGATATTGCCTCAAGAACGGAGCTCTTCCCAGAAGACTGGTCACCACAGACTATGATCTGCGGCAGGGAGATATAGTGGCTAATACCTTGGGAGCGGAGGGTATCAATTGAATTCAGAAGATCCAGTTGCTCTTCATTGCATAGATCCCGTAGGGCCTCGGTATGGAAGTTTCGCAGAACCATGATGGAGATTTGTGATAACGTGAAACTAGGACGGCTTGGGGGAGAAATTGAGTTAGGCCAAGGATAAGGTGGAAAAAGTAATCCTTATAAATTTAATCAAATACTCAAAGTGATCTATTCAATCATTGGAGCACATGAGTAGTCCCCCCTCCTCCCCCGAAGGCAAGGGCTTAGGTATGTATCATTGCTACAGTATAGTCTTCTTCTTCCCTACGAGGCTTGTCAGTGGTCACCCATGAAGAATAGTTTACAGGTATCCGTAGCAACACAAGCAACGCCCTCGAAGCTCTTTAGTGCTTTACTACATTGGAACAAGCATGTTGAATGGTATGCAATCAATGGCAGCCTCATGAGTGGAGAGGTATGTTTTGTTGCCATTGGTACTCGCTGTCCATGTTCCTATGTTGTCATGGAGGTGACATAGAACATAGAATTGGTCACTTGCTTTGTGGCTTCTTGGAATACCGCCGAACGAATTTCCTTGATGAGATATTAAACCAAGAGGATTGATCTCTGCTATCGGCCTAACAAATGCTCTCATCGGCTCGAGGATTAACTGGGATATCACCGAGTGGAATCGAATTCAGGCCCTAGATAGAAAGCATCCAGAATGCTGCCTTATCTTGGACATTCCAAAAGAATGCCGCAGCCACATTCAAATTCTCCAACATGTAGTTGCAATCATCCAGGCTGGCCTAGAAGAAACCTTACATGATATTGTAGGACGGGAATGGGCTAGGAGATTATATGCTGCAAAATGTCAGGAATTCGTTCTTTCCCAAAGGCAAATGTTGTTTGGCCCTTGCGGAATGTGCCAATCAGTTGAGTTGTGGCGTGAGATTTTTTCCCTAAGAGGATAGAAGTGTGAAAAAAGGACATAGCACATCAGGGCAACCGAAGCCAGCATGCCAAAGACGTCCGGAGAGTTCAAGGCATGATGGAAGATTCGAACTTGCATATTCACTATACGCATCGGTTCGACAACTGGCAAGAATTCTTGAAAGGGGTACGATCGGGCTACATTGGCTCTGTACCAGGTCGTGTACCCTAGGTCAATCGAGGTCAATCTGCATACCAAGTCCCGGGGTTGATGGCAACCAGCAGCACATATCCGTAGTCATCAACGTTCCGGCCGAGGCCATGAGGCCCGCTGTAGAGGGCCACGGAAGAGTACTCATCCGAGCCAATAGCTCGCAGTTGACGAATAATTGTCCCGTAAGACCTCAGCGAGCTGAAGCAAAAGCTCTAACAGTGATTGCTTTTCCTGTGACCACGAAACAGTCGTGAAGGGGTGAGCTTGTGTCCATGACTTAAAGCTCACTGTAGGGAGCCACAAGTTGATCTACTGTCCAGCTTTCACAATAATTGGCCTCGGTAAGAGCAGCCGCTGGTATCTGGACAGCACCATCACTACCTTGGCCAAGGCGACTTCGGAATCAGCTCGCTGTTGATTTGTCCAGTCATGAGTTGGAATTTGATGGTTAAGTGCAGGTGCCAAGGGACCGCAGTTTCAGATAGATCAAGCTGGACCCAAAACGCTGTATGAGCCCAGGTGAGGGGATTGGTGCGGCTGCCACGCAACTGAGGGTGGGATCTCACCGTCTTTAGCCCGGGTTCTCACCCTGTCCATAGCGCACTCACCCCATCTCACCCTCGTCCTGCGACCCTAAAGCGGCGCTCTCGCCCTAAACTCACCCGGGCGCCATCCTTAAGCCACACAACATCTGCCAATCCTAGCAAATAATGTAGTTTAACTTGGTGGGGAAACAGATGATCGCCGCTTTATGGTCGTGCGACTAGGGGCGAGTAGGGCGATCACGCAATCAACGGGGTGAGATGCGGGCTGAGAGCAGGTGAGACTCACCTTCTGTCGCGCGTTTGCTGTTAATTTTGCTGTCAGATCTTTGACTCTAGAGAAATAGTCTAATTAATGTTGAAGCACAGTATCATTACTCGTACCTTGTGGGCGTTGGATATATGCCCATAAATCTAGATGGGATGCTAACGAATCAGTCGAGATCCCTGAGAAAGTTAGCCAATCTGACTGCGGGATGGAGCTACAGTGGGTCTGTATGGTCAATTCTTTGTTTGCTATGCCTAGCAGAGCGCGGTACTTTATCACGCAAACAAAGAAAGCCTCGAGTACAAGGAGAAAGCTGAAAAATCTGCCTCCCTGCTGCTCCTGATTTCTTGATATTCTCACAGTTCCTCCAAGTATTCTTTTTTCAGACCCAGCTTACTCGCCGAATTCACCTAGCTTTGATTTCAAACACGGTGCTCAATCCACAATGAGGAAGGTCAAGACCTTGCGCACCATCCTTCCAGCGGACAAAAAGCGCACAGTGCAGTCCCAGGAAGCAGGCTCCTCTAAGGCAATACGACGTAAAAATTCGTCTGCTTGCGCAGAGTGTCAGAGAAAGAAGACTAAGGTCTAGCCCCTGAAATACAACCGCTGAGTTTAACAGAGAACTAACACTATATTCTCAAAGTAGTGCTCTGGAATGAAGCCTTGCGCAAAATGTGTTACGAGTGCACAAAAGTGTCTATACGATCAAAGCAGTGATCGTAGACGTAAGGAGTACACAGCCGGGCTGTTGAAATTTCAAACTAGTCTTTGTCGAGTGGCTGCTACGCTGCGCTCCGCAACTCCCGATGAGCTATCTTTTTTGGTGTGGCAGGTTCAATGCTTACCAACAGATCAAGACGCAGCCGATTACCTTGTTCAGATGTTGGGTTAATACATATGAATGGACTACTACAATCGCGAAGGAAGCCAGCGGTACTGTCTTTTGGATGCGAATGGGTGCCTCGCTGACCAAAAAATTGGTTGAGTCCGGTGTGATGATTATGCAATCGGATTGAGGTGATCTTGGTCTTTGTTTGCATATTTACCTGTCACATCTCTGATAACCTGGTGTTCTTGGTGAATACGCTTGCTTGGTCCATATATTGTTTGGGTTTTCGATTGCTTGGAGCTTAGGGCTAGCATTACGATATATATGTTGGTATTTAAATAAAGGTTTCGATTGATATTTGAGTTGGCTTAAAGTTTTTCATCAGAATCATATGGCTAGGTGGAATGGGCAAGTCTCAAAGGCCTCCTGCCACAAAGACGGATAGAGCTAACTGGGGTAGCACCCACCGACTATTGACTGCACTCAAGCCACGCACCATTTGCCAATCCTAGCAACTAAGATAGCTTAGCTTGGTAGGAAAACGGATGATCGCCGCTTTATGATCGCGCGACTAGGGTGAGAGAGGGTGAATGCGCAATAAACAGGGTATTGTAAGATGCGGGGTGGGAGCGGGCGAGACTGGCCCATCCATTGATGTGGACTAAAGATATCTCACGGGAAACTACGTCTCCGAACTTTGGCACAACTTAACAGTTAATACTGCCGGGTTTAATCTTTCCTCTGTGTGGGGAAGTTCCAACACAAGCGACCAATCGGACAGGAACGATGAGGCGTTTCTCCGCTCAATTTCCTGTGGATGACTGACACCACTGGCTCACAGGTTATCGGAAGTAGATAATTATGATCAATGTTAACCTCAGTGCATGATTGACACTCTACCTCTTGCTTTGAAAATATAGTAGGAAACTCCGATGGGTATATATTACCCAAAATCCGAATTATATATCAATTCACTTAGCCCCATTCCTATATACCGAAGTCAATAATCTGATGTCGTCATCAAAGGAAAACTGTCACAAGTGATTCCTATTGCTATTCGCACGCCTAATGAGAGAAACCTGTGGTTACGATGAAGCGGTTCATTGGAAAAAGTCGTCGGGATAACGGCGTTGGCCCCGGATTGACCACAAATGAGACTGTCTTCTTGGGGTTGACGAGCTGCCCCACCCTACAGTGGAAAGGCTCTGTCTTCAATTTTGTCGAAGTTGAGGTCGGGAGCAATGAGGGTGTTGAGGAATCTCGCGGTACTGGTCCATGGTATGAATGTGGCGACTCGCTGCACGGCGTTTGGCTGTAGGGCTAGACCCCCAGATAAATGACAACGAGATGAGCACTTGCATACAGATTATAATCATTGATAGAACCGAGTACTGTTAAAATCTTCCCTGGAAATGCAACATATCAGACCCGGATCTTGGGGTTGCGGGTTGTCTCAAGAATAGTGCAAAATAGTGGCTTACCTTACTTGCACGCTGTACCTGCCGACTACTCATGAACCGGCTCATCATTGTACTCAACCTGTCAGTCACAGTCCTCTTCCTAGTGCCCTAAAACACGCACACAACTAGAAAGCAAATCCGTTGGACTTCCACGCTACCGTCTTGAACAACAACATCCAAGGGACCAAACTAAACGTGATTTAGGCTCGCGGTGGTTTCCACGATACTGCACTGAGAAATGACTAAACCAAGTATGTCCGGGGAATATAATCGGTCAAGATTGCCCTCAACCGAAGCTCATCGTTAAGGAAGCCAAGTGGAGGATCTTCCTTCTCGCGGACATATTTTATGTTGTCCCAACTACCCACACGTCTAAATGAAAAGGATCGGTAGATCCTCAGCTTCATCTCATCATATCTCAAATCAGGATTTTCCTTGCTTGTAAATATCCACGAGGGGTTTCCAAAAAAATCTTTTCCTCTGTCCAGCTCCCACCCTGGTTTAGGCTTCCATTTGCGATCAAAAATCAGTTCATCAAGTGCTGACTGAGCAGTCAATACAGGGACATCTTTAAGCTGGAACATTTCCCTATATTTTTTTTGAGATTTTTTATCTCGACCTAATGGCAACCATTGAAAATAACGAGACATTTAAACTTGTGTTAGAGATCATTACTCACGCATAAGAACCCTTAGGAATCCCCCCATGGTTGATCAGAATGAATGGAACATGGGTTGGCCAAGGGAGAATATTGGTTGACCGGGGGAAAAGCATTCATTATATACTTTTCATGTGTTCCCGAAACTCTCGTGGTCCATCTCAAGAGATCTTACACAAAATATTGGGACAGTTCCTGATGGCCATGGGAAAATTATTCAGAACCTATGTAAAGATAACTCATAATTAATCATAGAGTTATATATTACTGATACAATTTGTTGAGACAGTTCATTCTCTGTTACCATCCAGTGGCTGCGGCGCTTCATTTTCAATTGAAGTGGACGGATCAACTACTGTTAAATGTGAAATGCTCCAAGGCCACCCCGAACAGAAACAAGACCTCGCCGTTCATCTTCGTGGGGTTTTTTGATTCGCGCAACATTCAAGAATTGGGGATTCATTTCGCAGTAGTTTGGATATCCAGTTTGACCTTACGCATCTTCAGACCTTCCCAAGGATAAACCCTAAATTTGGGGGTTACAACTGGACTTTACCTGAAATATGTACTTGAACTTCCTGCGCAGAAATCTATGCATTTTGCTGTGGTAGTCACAGTAGCTGCCACTACCGTAATCTATACATTCAAGTAATCTAAGATCCACCTTTTTGTGAGGGGTCAGGGTACTGGCGATGCGCGCTCCGCGATCTGTGGCCTTGAAACGAAGAAAAGAATTGGAGGCATGATGATACTGTAGGTTACAGTATGTGTGTGTGTATTTCATTTACGCTGACCCCTCGCAAAGCGATATGCAGCCTACCACAACTATATATCAATGTAGGTACATGTTGTAGGTTACAGTACTAGTTTTCGAAATCAGCTAAACCTTCACACTCTTGCGACTTCGTTCCCAGGGAATAAATCTGGCATATGTGGGATCTGATTGGATCAGGGCTTCCGTCTGTCACTTTAGACCGCTTCCTGTAATGGTCTCTGTATTTTACAATACAGTAATAGGACCGCGAGGGATGTATTTTACACGGAACTGCCGTACCCTCGCTAGCTCTGTGTCTTCGAAAACTACTGTAGCAGAATTGAAGGAAGGTACTATATCGAGCCGTCGCTACATGACGAGGGTATTATGGGAGGAAATGAAAGGATGAACCCTCAGCCTCTAGGTGTCAGGACAGGCAGGTAGCCTTTCCCACCTCTCCGCCGACCCTCTTCTTATCTCCAAATCCGCGAATCCCCTCCACCCGAGCGCTGAAATATGAAGCTGTGAGATACAGTATTACAGTATATTCAGCACGGTGTTTTGAGTGGTCAGAACAGATTGGTGGACAGATTGGCCGGGAATTACAGTACGTTATCAACAGAATGAATGAAAGATTGACGGTTCGCTGGCTGTCTAATACATTGGGTATCTCCAATTTGCACGAAAAAAATCCTTGACTGAATTATGGTTAGTCCCGCCGAGCATGCGGTACACGAAAGCACCGCATCTCGTGCACTGCTTTGTTTATTTCTTCCGCAAACTCAGAAACTGAATGCTTCTTATCCAGACTACCCAGTCCTATCCTTTTGCGTTTGCGGTTTGGTGAGATCATGCCTAATACCGGTCGAGCTTCGATAATCTCGGCTCTTTCAAAATCGAAGAAGACTACTTTCTTGACTTCGGAATTGTACGACCAATTCCTTGGAGCCGGGTCTTTATGAACTACATCTCTGTTGTGTATCGCTGATAGAGATTCCGTCATCTTGGAAATGAGACACGTTCGGCCCAACTCCCTGAGTGCTAGGTCCGGGGATTGTCCGCTTGGGCTCAACAACATCATGTGGTCGAGGTAGGCAATCCCATCATAGCTAAAGGGATGAGCCATGTCAATACTTCCAAGGTAAATAGGTATGTGTACACCCTGGATCGACTCAAGCTTGCGGTATACTGCTGCTTCATGCCGAAGATGATTGCGGAACTCCGCCACAGTGCATTTCGCGGGCACTGTGTAACCGTGCGATAGAAGAGTCACTTTCAGGAGGGCGCCTCGAGAACCGTGTACACCGAGGGCTTCACAGCCTGCATTGACAGTTTCAGACAGTTGTTGTTGCAATTTCCTGACAAAGCTATCTGAATTGATCACATGTCCCGTTGGTCCATGACTATGATCACGGACATTGGGGCAAGCCAGATCCAACTGCCCTCCGTGTACCAATCCGCGCAGACACTTCAGCGTGCAGTAACGGCGATGGTTCTCCTTAGAGAGAGAGCTTGGTTCGGATGTGGGAATTGCTTTGCCCGCGGCTGTTGGCCGCCTCCCTTCAATGTTCCGAGAGGCACGTGTCTTCCGGCTCGGCGTAGGGGCATCATCTTCCTCATCGTCAGATTTGCTTCGCGCACGCAACGATTGACAATGATCCTTGCTTCGGTTGCCCCTCCTCCGTAGTTGAATGGGGGACCGGAGAAAATTGACTGCCTTTGGTGGACGATATTCGGAAGATGGAACTTCATGCTCAGGAATATCATCGAGAATGTCCGCGGGAACAATTGCCCACTTAGGCAATGCATTCGTAGCTTCTAATCCCCAAGCCTGGCTCCGCGGCCTAAGTTTTAAAGCCTGGAGTGTAAATGCGAGAGCTTGGCCCACTGCGGTTAAGTGTAACCGATTTGGGCGATCTGAATGAGGATCCCATCCAGTTTCATATCCAACGTCCCCCTTCGGAACGGAAAGGTGGTAAAAAAGTGTAGAAGGATCATCACCAATTTTCAAGTAGATGTCTACTTCGCCAGTGGAAAAGACCCCTACCTGCGTAAGACCACGGATCATGTAGTCAAACGGCTGCGAGAGAAGTCCGATAAGCGCTCGCTGGAACCGAAGTTTGGAGGGTTCATCATCCTTCTCCTGAACTACTTCGTCAACATCCATGTCCCCCAATCCTTCGTATATATGGCCCAGTGTCACTTTGAGTGGGGATTTGTATTCCTTGATGTACGCAGCCACGCGATGTGTAGATTCCGAAAATTGGTTGGGAATATTGTAAACACAAAACTGGTCAGCGCGAGGCCTTTTGGTTCGGGCTGGCAATGGTGTTCTCGGTTCGCGAGTGGCCGCGTCTGATGCACTCTTCTGCCGCTCAGCTAAACGCGGTGAACGTCGCCGTGTTGGCCGACCGCGAATATCCACGCTGCGCAAACCCTCTACCAGTTCGTGGTCCGGGCTCAGAGTATTAGAATGATTCTCAAAACGGATTGTCCCTCTTAGACCGAATGTTTGACGGAGGACCGGGTCCTTGTAAAGCTGTTCCACGATTTTCGAAACGTGGTCCTCGACCGTCTGGCGAAGAAAGTGGTTTAGATCAAGTTCCGAGCCGATGAGCTGCCGGCGAATGTTTTCGCCCATCTCCTCCAGTGTATGGAGCGAAGTGAATAACTTGTCCTCAACGAGCGATGAGTCCATCAACAATCGCCAAACTTCTTCTTGTTCGCTTGAAAACGTGTCCCAGGCCCTAAGGTATCGGGGGCGCAGCTTGTTGGCTGTATTTGCGGGATCTCCACGTGTCGACTGAGTCTCATCTGGCTGGACCTCAAGACCGAGGAAGAGATGTTTGTGGAGGCCATCGAGAAACGTCGGGAGGTTTGTTTTAGACAATCGCTGTTGAGACGCGGACAGCTGCTGTTCAGACGCGGAAAGCAGCCGCTCAGCATCTGCTAGTTGTTGCCGAAGTTTTTCGATTTCCGACGTCATGTCGGGGCGGTCGCGTTTGAGGAAGTTGGAGGGCAAAAGTCTTTGACACTGGAAGATTAGCGTTGGGTTTGTTTACAGCTGATCCCGCCACGCACGTGACTCTCACGGACCACGATTGATCTTGGCTTCTAAGGCTAGCGAGGTTACTCCGCGCTGTGTTGTAGTACAGCTTGTGGCCCCTCCCAATTGTATGTGATCGCTTTCTTTGTGTTCTCTCGTATCCAAAAGCCATCCACTGCGCTTGACGCTTTTTTACAAAATTTTCCGAGGCATTCAATCCGCTGTCCGACAGAGGCCTTGCGAAGACAGTCGAATGACAGACTGGTTGCAGGTGTCCCGTTTTCTAGAACTTGGCCATACTTCACAAAGTAACGAATATTTTTATGCACATGATGAGGAGAGGCTTCTGCTTGGGATGCCTAGAGATCTGTTGTTTTCTCTCCACCGAAGACCGGCCTGTGGGATCAAAGGTATATTCCACACTAGGATGACTTATATCTATCTACTTGAATCAATTAACTTTTGAAATTGATTATGCGGTATCGTTATCCCTTTCGCAGAGACAGACTTAGGGTGCGTCTATGGACATTCAGACGAAGGTAGATGTTTCGATACAGTAAGGTTCAGTATCGCCCTGGCACATCATTCCGGCTCCGCAAGTGATACGAGGACTCCATGTGTCGGTAAGACATTGTTCAAGAATGTTCCCATTGCATTGCCACGTACCAGTCGGACAAGATCCGCAAATCCCGCGGCTGGTCGTACTCATGGATTTCTCGATAGTTGAAGGATTGAGGGACGTACTTTGTACCGCACCATTGACATTCAACACCTAGGACGTTTCAGAGAAGGAATTCAAGGTCATAAGGACAGATATAACGGACTGCAGATTTTTCTGCTGCTTGAATTAGGAGGTCTAATTCTCGAATTTCCCCTCCTTGCCGCTTGAATTCAATGACAGTGGTTATATCAAAGCAGCGGGCTCGACTTGATGGTAGTCTGAGATGAGATTCTGAGCCTTTCCACGCTATTGCCATTGAGTAGGCATGATGGAATGTTGGAAAAGCCTTTGATACGAGGCCTTTGTGGATCTCGTCCCCTTCTTTCTCACAATGGTCTTTCATATTGTCATATCTGGAACGGCAAACAAGACAAAAAGGACATGCCAAGTGCTTGTCTGCCAACAAAAGCAAGCTTCTCAAAACAATACATCTGATATCAGCCTGAGAGGTCTGGGTGTTCGTTGTGGTGCTCATTGTTGACGATCTGATCAAGGCCTCGTGCAGAGCTGGGAGATTTGGCATGAAATCTAGATACCTTTGTAGGACTTCGTGCATTATATATCGTACAGAGAGCGGTAATTCCGTCGCATTCTATGGGTGTACGAGCAGGGAACGTATAGTAACGACTCTACTAGTTATTGAAGGCTACCTATACAGGATGTATGATTGAACGGTACTTTTGAAGCTTCATTCTCTCTGACGTGGCTGTCATCCGGTCGACTGGCAACGCACGAATCTTGTATCGATTGATTGGAAAGCGAGCGAACTACCAATTGCAAGGATCGTCATTAGAAGGGCTTGCCTACTTTTATCCATTAAATGAATGAAATAGCAGGACTGATTCGAGGATATCACGAAAATTTTGGAAGTGGAGCAGACCGGACCTTCTGACGAATGGACTGTCCTACTAATAGGGATCGGCATTCGGCAAAATGGCCCATGCTGCATTACAACAAATTACAATACACCCTATTTGATAGAATTAGAAATATAAGTCAGACCGAAGAAGGGGAAGATGGATGAGTAGCGTACGAGTTGCTCCATGCTGTCGGAGGCCCCGGCGCTAATCCCATCACCAGAGACCGCCACACGAGTCTGGACAAACGTTCCTTTCTTTTTTTTGAATTCCCTAGCGTAAGGTCACCTTCTTAGCCTCTGGCCAGGGCTGTCATCTGATAGCTTTGCAGACCAGTGGTAGACAGTCTTCCTGAGTGTTGTCGGGCGAGGGGCTGGTATCTTTTGGTCGTGATGTAACCGTGCCAAGTTCTCATTTTATAAGAAGGCCCCTTTTTGATGGCCTATATTTTTTTAGTGTGCGCTGCTAGTCGTTGAAGCTTCATGGAAACGACATTGCCAACTTCAATCGTTGTTCAATTTGTGTTGTCTTGTACTAGACATCTGTCGGACAGACAATCAACCATCAAAAGAATATGAAAGAGTGCGTGTTGCTACAAATTCTGTATTGCGTCCGATCTGAGGGTTCATTGCTGTTCGACCTCTTCTCCGAGCGCTGTCCAATTGAGCCGTTACTCTGATTATCTGACTTTAAACCTAGGGCACTGCTTGTCCCCTTAGCAGGAAGTAAAATATTTCCATCCTACATTGATGCCTTATCGAGACATCCCCAACACTTTCGGATCATTTCGAATAAATGGCTGGAAGTGCGGTCCCTTTCTGACTTGAAAGAGACCCCTCTCTATGATCTGGCCAAAGTCATAACGCCAAATATTGCCGACGATCTCCTAGATCGAGGAGTCAATATCGATGTGGCACAAGGGCCACAGCGTCAGACGATTTGGCACGCAGTCATTGAATATCATGAGCGGCCCACGAAAATGCTTGATTGGCTCCTACTCCGTTCTTCTTTGCCATGCAACATGCCCTCATCTAGTGGGAACACTCCTCTCATGCTAGCTATCCGACTTGACAAAGTGACCGCCGCAGCATGGTTGAGCAAACACAGCAACCTCGAAGTTCCCAATCCATCAAACGGACTGACAGCCCCCGAGCTTGCGGCGAAATCCCATACATGGGAGAGTGTTCTCATATTTAAAGAAATCATGGGCAACATCGCTATGAATGAGAAAGGAGGCCGGGATCTCACTAAGCGAGTCCTACGTGCGATCCTGGATGGTCTACGCACCGAGGAGAAGGCGCCGGATACAGAAGCTAAGGCTAGACAAAGGATGCAAAGAGTTAGACCAGCATCTCAAGAACTACCAGGAGAATTCTCATGCTTCGCGTTTGTATGCTCTTGAAAAGTTCCGGATCGTTGCTTGTATTATCGGGAGGCCTCTTAATATTATGGATTGGGTTGTCCAGAAAGAGGAATGATACCACTGGTACACGCAGCATCGGAAAGAAAGGCTTGAAGGCTATGTACACAATTCTGGCAAATGGTTCTTTTTATTGTACCAATTGATTAATCTCCCAGTATCAATTTCCTTCATGACAAATCTAGTTTTGAAACATTCAATCGGAGAGTGCGGTCCTCGTCTATGGGAGCCAAGTGGAGGATCATTGATTTGACGTCCCATCACAAATGTGAACGTACTCAAGAAAGTAATGGTTGACTGAGATGCAAGATTGTTATGGATTTCAGTCGTGTCCCGTTTCGAGTGTTGGCGTAAGCATTGCATAGATTTGAATGTTGCGAGATCGTAGGGGCAAATGTAGCCCATGGCTGATTTTTCCGCCGCTTGAAGCAAAATCTCGAGTTTTGAACACTCTGACATACGCATCTTGAATTCAATAACAGTATCGAGGTTGAAAGAAGCAGATCTTCTGGAAGGTAAGCGCAACTCTTCTTTGGGACACTTCCATCCAATTGCCCTTGCGTAAGCGCTGTGGAATGATGGGAAATCCTCAGCTATGAGCCCCTGATGGTCTTCATCGCCACTGAGCCTTTCACAGTGGTCTTTGACCTTGTCGTATCTGTGGCGAGAGAGAAGACAAGAGGGGCCGGCATAGTGTTTGTTCTTTTGCCGAAATAGATTTCTCAAAACAGTACACCTGATATCATCCGGAGAGGGCTGGTCATTCATTTCCAAAGCCGGTAAAAAGATTTTTCAGTAGATTTTTTTGATGATTTTTTTCAACAATGATTCAGATCAGTTTTCAGAATCATGTAGTTTATAAGGCAGCCATTTGAATTTGCCTATGAAAGTCCTTGGCATTAATCGATACGTAGAAAAGCGCCATGCCTGTGTCTATCCCGTTCACCGGGGATCAGACATCTTGCATAACTGACTCGACGTTGCGTTCAAGGCCGCACTAGTACTGATTGTCGTCGACGGTCTCGAACGTGTGGAATTATCACCGGGTAGCGGTGACAGCCAGACACGTTACTGGTAAGATCCGCCCAGTCCAGGGACCCATTGAGAATTGGAGACGTATCTCTCCTGTTTCCATCACCGTCCATTACGGTCATGTTACCTCAGCCTTTCCCGGCCTGTGCTAATTAGATTCTCTTCAGGGCACAAAGGATCCAGAAGATGAAGTCTATTTATCGTTTGAATCGCACTTCCATGGAATGAGTCGAGAGGCTCTCAATTGCTACCAAGCCCAGTTACTATCGTCAAGAAGACTCAAGACACTTGCAAGCGTGCCACACGGCCGAGATCCTCCAATTCTATATATCCCTATTTCAGCCCTTCTCTATAGGTCAGGAAATCTCCATTGAATGACGAATTCTTCCGTGGTGAATCCAGTTTCTTCTGCGACATGAAGGATAAGAGCAGCGGAAACTCTTTTGGCCCGCATAAGACTGGGAGTATTCTCGAAGCTTGTGACATTTCTCAAATGCCTTCCAGCATCTTCCACAAATACCACCTCTTTTATGATATGCAGTTGCGGATACATATCTTGACTCTTAATACATGAAGCATGACATCAGTCTACTATTTTGGTTGCAGAGCAGAAATACTAACCTGGCTTTCGCTGGTGGATTGTTTGCAGTTGATACTTCCGCAAGACAATGATTGTCTTGAGTATCCGTTTCGTTGATGGACTGGCGGAAGACCTCTGCAAGAATGTATTCAACGTACCAAGATTCAAGCCATGGGCTCCACAAAGAATAAAAAACAAGACGTCCCGGTCGTCTGGGAAAGTTCAGCCAAAGTTGAAGTGCGAGATTGATTTTTCTTCCTCACCTTTCTCCAGAGGCCAATCCTTCGCTGCTTGGTGAGTGATCTCACTTTGTATGGCCAACTTCCATTGCCTCAATATCTCTTGGCTCTCAGTTGGATCCAGAGTCCCAATTATATATTTGTAGAGCTCCGCTAGGGTCTTGAAGGGCCGATTGATCGATATGCCCGTCACTTTAGTATACCAACCTACTATGCCTTTCACGGCACTGAGGAGCGCGTCCCTGTCTGGCGTTCCTGTATCGAAACCCAATTTATTGGGTGAAGACGAGCAAAGGTTCGAAGGTGGAGCTTGGAGCAGGGGGTATTCATGTTGTGCTCCGAACGAGTGGAAGCTGCCTTGAAGGGGATATGGAGTGGTAGTCGGGATAGCCATAATCGCTTGCTCATTCGGTGCAATGGGAACTATTTGTAGGTTCCCGTCGAATGCCTTGCCAGTATTCAGAGCCATAGCTCTCTCATCTCCACAATACCCGGATGAGAAAATCATATCTCTACCTATGATAGAATGCTTTAGCTTTAAACCAGATACTGTATCTGGGGATGTGAACGCACTAGCTCTCTGTTTTTCGTAGAGAACTTCCCTTTTTCGCACATGAAGAACCTCATGAATGATCTTTAATTGAGATTGTGAATGCACTTTGTCCTCAATGCGGCCAGCGACCTCTGCTAGCGTCTCAGTGCTGATTTCAGGCTTGCAGATAATATGAACCAGAAAGTTAATGCAAACTAAGGAAAAGCCGAGTGAGTTTCACATGCACAGGATTAGACAATTAAACTTACGCTCCTTGTGTAGGCGGGTGGGCTCTTTGTCTATCACGCCTGGGGCCCACCACTCCGGCCTGGTCTTTTCGTTGCCATTGTAAGGGAATTAGTAAGGCTTCTTTGGATAAATCTTTTGGATGAAAGCAATGGCGACCTTAGCACAGTTTTGCTGACTCAGGTGCCCCAGGGTATCTTCATAGTAACCCATGACTTCTCGGTAATTGCCGCATGTATGCGAGTCTTTTTGAAGCTTGAGTAGGAAGAAAATACAAATGCCCAGATATTATGACCAGAAACATGCGGGTATGAGTGACGAATGTGCAAAGGCTTCCAAATCTGAGAGCTCTGATGACGGCTGAGGAGATTTGAATGAGTCTAAGTGGAACTAAGTTCACATAAATAGAAGAGCAATACCCTGTATCTTTGGCCTCTGGCCCTGATCCTGCATTAGCCCTGCATCCGAAAGGGCCAATTATGAGGCCATAACTCAGGAGCCTTGCCTAGCTCCAAGAGAAGACGAATCATGCGTGTGTGGATGCTTAGATATCTAGAACGTCCGAGAGGGTGATAGGATAGCGTTACAGTAACTTGGGGGCCTTCCTCGCATAATTCATTCCCCAGACTGCCCTTTTTGGAGCTTCTTCCCGTCACCTATGATCACTGACCTCCATCCCCCTTTCCGTTCCCTTTCCAGATTTTTTGTAGATTAGGAGCTCCAGAAAAACAAGTACATCGTGACCCCGCCTGGGTAGCCAGTTTCTCAGTTCCAAGGTCTAATATAAAAAATTTTCCCCCGCTCGGCGAATCTACCGGCGCCTTCTGTAAAATATATAATGAAATTTTACGGAATCACAACAAAACTCTCTCTAGATGTGAGATATGTATTGGTAGAAAACTCAACATGAGGATCCAAAATCAACTACCGTCACGCTGGCTATCTTGTAGCAAAATAGCATTGAGTAAAAAGCGAATGCAGCGAAATAGGCAACACCCAAGGCAATTCAGATTGTCGAAACTCCATAAGCCGGTGACCTTTCTATTGTCTCATTCGTTGTGCCTGGATATCCATCGTCCAGTGTGTCATTCGATCGTTCACTATTATGGAACAAGACGGCAATCACTTGAATGATCAATAGTGCAAAACGATGGTTCTCGTCGAGTCAAGCAGAGGCCCCTGCGCGGTTTTGGGAACCAGATTCGCCCCCGGAATTATAAAATCACACAATCATAACCAATCGCCATTCCCAGCCTTTCTAAAATGAGGCGGAGGTCTTCAATCCTTTATCGTTTTCTGTCTTCGTATGGTATACCTTGAATGATCATTGGAAGCAGGATTGTGGAAGTGGTTGAAATTCTGAATGACGGTCTAGCACGGCCAAAATCCGACGCACCGATCTCCTGATACGACAATTTTCACGTAGTTACTCATTATCTTCAGTATACTATGGCATAGTCTGTGCAGGTCCTAGGAGTCTGTCCGCTACTATTGTGGAGACACGAAATGCGCGGGGATCGGCAAAACTGTTCCTGCGACCTGGGTTTCCGCATGGGCCAGAACATGCGTCGCCTCCGTGAACTGGCCTGCTTGTACGTTCTATTTCGACCAATCCGTCAAATCAAGAATATATGGCGCTACTTGTTGCCTTGCATTAGCGTTCGAACTAAGATGAAGTAATGTTGAGAACTTTTTACGGCGATCAGTTCTCTTCCACCGCCGCCTCACATCTTCAGCTCCTGCCAGACCGAGGCAGGTCTCGTTGCCAAAGCACAGGTAAGATCCCGGTCTGGTATCTCCATAGATTTCCCTGGCTGGCTGTATCATATTGTTCTTTCAGCGCTTGCTAAATCCGGTCTAGATTACAGTAGTTGGTAAATGGCGTTGACTAGACCAGACAAAAGTACCAACACTTTTTTAGTCCTGCTACCTCTGCTCCTCTAATCAACTCTGCTCTAGGAAGACATTCTACCCAACATTCAATCTCCGCAAAATAATGATTAATATATGCTTACCTACGCGCACTCCATGCATGGGTTGAGGTGCGTACGATACGTCTGGTGTTAAAAAGCCAGGGGTACCATCACCGCCACCGAAGTGACGAGCTCAATACGGTGTTATCGTACTGGTACGTTGTACCAGTCTAATTTTTGGCATATTCTAACCAATAATTAATCGCCATAGTTTGAGACTAAGGGTCAACAATCTTGCCTTGCCGAGTTAACGTGCGTTTGCCCATGTCAGGTACCGCATTAGGTCTATTTTGGTATCAGGCTTGGCTGTATATTTGGTTGATTGTTGTTGGAGGAAATTGACGTTTGTGGCATGAAAAGAACTGAAATTATCATTGAGG